TATTTAACATAATAGTCAATTAAGGAATCGTAAACAGATGAAAATTATACACAAATCAGTTTATGAACACAGTACCTAATTTGAGTTATCGCCGACAGAATCACTGCACCTATTTAATTTTTTATGTACTTAAATATTATTCTATACCGGCATATTTTAGGTATTTCCTTGCATATACTTATTATTTAGATATATTATTCAACCTTTTTATTTGGATGAAGTCAAAACAAGTGGTAATCATAAATCAGTATTAGATGGAAATACTTAAATAATATTAAATAATTTGCAATGCATAGTAGATCTCACCTATATTTAGTAATATTAACTCGTCGACTCGATAACAATCATTCATTGTAGCTTTTCTAATTGTTTCTTTACTAACCTAATTTTGCTTACACTTTTTGTGTATCATTAACTTTATACTCTATTCATTTCAATGTGGCTAATTTGATAATGGCACAGAATTAGGCCAACGATAAATATATAAGTAATAAATATACTACACTATAAGTACAATATTTGTTAGGATATTGGTATTCGTTACATAAACAAATAAATTAAAAATAAAGTAGCTGTACTTGTTGACCAACCTGTACAGTTTATAGAGTTACGGCTTATAAAACTCGTAAACTTGAGAATAGATTCTTTATGAGACCTTTTTAATAGCCAACTTTTTAACTTTGAAGAATTATGCGCTTAACAGTTTGCCATTCAATATTGTTTGCCATTCTAGTTCCATAAACTGGAATGGCAAACTGTCCAACACGGACCGCTCAATAGCAAAAGTCAACCTTCATAGATATATATATATATAAATATGTCATCTATACATTTTATACATTTATGTATAAATAATTGATCGACATTAAAAATTCTAGTCTTTAGAGGGTGGACACACTGCCCCGTCCGAATTATAGACCGTTTTGTCTCAATTAATTACCTCTAAGTTATATTATAATCTTGTAAATAAGTAAATTAAATAGAACCATCATTTTACTTATTTCTGCTATGAAACCTGTACGCAATAGTGTAGATGGATGATTGTGCAATCTTTAACTACGTAGTCACAATACCTTGGTCCTCTACAGTAATAACAAAGTATGAATGATGCCATGGGCGACACGTTATGTACACGATATTATGATTTTTATTTTGCAGACTTATTTGATTCTTTATACTACGATGGTGGCAAACAAACATGCGACCCATCTGAAGGTTACCGTAGCCTATGGGCGCCTGAAACTCCAGGAGTGTCACATGCGCGTTACTGACCCTTGATAATAAAAACATTCGCTTTTCGCTGTCAATACATCGCCTCATTACGTAGTATAAAATAAAATCGCTGTCGCTGTCTGTTCCTATGTATGCTTAAATCTTTAAAACTACGCAACGGTTTCTTTTAGAGTGACTCATGAGGAAGTTATATATATATATAATACATGTACACCTGTGCGAAGGCGGGGCGAGTAACTAGTAAAAGATAAATGACCCAAACAGTTATTAAAGTGCTCGACTTTGTCAATTTAATAGAACTCAGAACAATGACTGCTAGAATATTTATCTGCTTGCACAGGCAAGCAGATAAATATTCTAGTCGCGATAATTGCAGAAACTTCTTAACCGCTAGTATAAAATAAATTGAAATACCTACCTACTTTATAGGCAATTTTCAATGTATTTATATTTATGTTTTAAGTTTATACATACGAGTAAGTACTGGTGTATGTTCGTATATTATTTATAAGACTTATTATAAGTCGGTAGATATAATATCCACTACTGTATTGATGCAAATTGGAACTGATCACGACTCACGGTGTTAACAAGTGCAGAGTGCTCTATGTTCAATTATGTTTAATATCACATAGTTATCATATAATAGTGTATAAAACACGCACAATGTTTTTATATTATGTAATTATACCATTAAAATCTAATATCTCCAAGTTTAAAACAACGATTCTAACATTTTAAATTTCAGTAGTCTATTCATTCATTCATTTCGTGACATACTATTTTTTTTTGTTGAATATGTCTTGCTGTTATATTTAAATTATTGTAATATTTTATATACTTAATTATTGAAGTGGCACACGATCTGATCTCCCACCTGATGGGAAGTGACGTGTACACTGGAACTGTCATGAAACACCACAAACATTAAGTGATCATATGACGCCCGCTGTACCCCACAATCGTTGCTATTCGGGAGGACTAATGTCGTATGCATACTCTATTACTTTCAGTGCCCACTTATATTTCTAGATAATGTTTTCTTTTCAGAATAATTTAACTTCATAATACGTTAAGGTCACGCTAATATTTACATCTTGCATAATAATTACATCATAATTTTATAATGAAAATTACTGGTTGAAGTTTAAAATAACGCCGAAATTTTCGGCTATTTTCGGGGAAATTCATGCCTATAATATTCGATCAACAGATAAAAAGGTCAGTTATTTTGGTAGGTATATTGGTTCTCAAAAAATATACTGCAGCCAACTTTTATTTTAACAGTTTGGATGAAAATGTGTAATTACTTATTGCTTAATCTTGAAATGTATCTATATTTGCTCAAATGTTTGAACTGAAAAAAAGATACCCTCCACATATCTAGGTACAAATCATCACTTAACATCAGGTGAGATTGCGGTCAAACGCGCTCAAATTATGATATAAAAAAAAAACTTAAATATTCGGCTACAATTTATTAGACGGCTTTACAGCTCATCGTTTAAAGACTTTAAATATGTAGTAGAGAAGGTACTACATAATTAAAGTTTTTATTGTTTTATACATAGTTATATATAGCATTTTATTATACTCACTATAATTAGTAAATAATAAAATAATAAATACCGTTTGTAGTTTAAATACGTTCTATAGCTCTACATTTTAAAAAAACTTAGTAAATGAGTAGATTACTTAAATGGAACATTTTAACAAAATTTATGTACGTTTATTATACTCGGTTTGACAATAATTTTTATTACAATTGAGTACGCAAATATATTAATTACGTTGAGCACGAAATTAACATATGACTACGTACTATAAAAAAAAAATTATTACCAACTTTTGTAAATGTCAAAATATATTTTTTTAAATAAGTATATTCATTTGTGAAAGTATCGCAACTATTCGAACTTTTAGGCACAAAATAGCGGTAAATGGTAAAATGGTGGACAAATTTAAATGTGAAAATAAAATACAAAATTCCAGTGGCCTGTTTAGAAGTTAGTTTTTACATCAATATTTGCAAGCGGCTTTTTGTTTACGTAAATCACAGAAGTTTAAAAGTTTAGAGTGCAGCGACACCGCGCGGCATCAGGTGCGATACATTCACGCAAATATTTTATGAAAATACCAACAATCTCAACCTTAGTGATGCTTTAATATCGATACCTGTTCGCTATGTTGAGAGGATGCAATAAAATAATATAAATAATAGTACTACAAAATTCTAAGACTTACTACATGATACTTAGTAGATGGAAGTACGTGCCTACATAAAATTTTAAAATAATAGTAACAACAGACAATAAATTTGCAAAGATTTCTGTTTAAACCATAATTAGTTTAGTAGAGTTTCCTAATATTATATTTATATGATTATAATTTGATGCAGTCCTGTGTAAAAGTTGTTGGACATGTTAATTATTCCAGGTGTTGTATTATCTATATCGATGAGAATAATAGGGTTAAACGAATAACACGAACTTTGCGTACCATAATAATTTTAATTAAGTACAATGCGAATAAAATATTATCAGGATAACTATTAATATTTACATAATTACTTGTCATATATGGTATTCTGAATTGTGACACAAAATCCTCTTACATAATTATAATGTGACAACAATAATAACTAAATATTAAGATACAGTAATTAGTTAATTTTCTTCTTCCAATTGCAAAGTATTAGTATTTAGTTTACACTGTTTGTTTATTAGTCAAGAAATGCAGTTAAGAAAGCAATTAAAAAATAAATTAGACGTTATCGAGCAAGTATAATATGTAGGGGGAGCGTAACGAGACATGAGTACGGCACTGCGCGGCGCACGGCGGTCGCCTGTACCGGCGACGCGACGCGGCCGCATCCCAGCCAAACGGTAAACACTTTGCTGTAATCTCGAGATGAGAAAACTTTCAGTTCTCTTAATTCAGAAACTTATTCAACAACCTAACAACCTTAGAGCGGACCAACCGACGGACGCAAAACAAACAAACTTACTCTTTAATCTCACTTTGTATACATTAAAATAAAAGTACTCTGCATTTTAAACTTCATATCGACGGCCGAACAGATTACATATAAATATAGTGTATGAGTTGTATAGATGTTTCCTAAATATAAATATGTAAATTTCATACATTAAGGATACTTAAAAATATTTTACTTGACAATTAGAGAAATATTTTATATTCTTTTTATCCTAAAATGAGATTACAATTTATAATATAAATATATATAATTATAGGATTTAACCTACTTGCCTGTGAACAGGCGATATATAATATTGGTTTTATTATTCGTTTATTTCTATTACATTAAACCGACTAATATCACATAGGATGGAATAACGATGAAAAATAGGTCATCCATCAAGAAACACAGTTTATTTTTATTTTATCACCCGAAGGAGAAATTTGATCAGTACGTTAATATTAAGTATTTCTTATCTTAAATAATTTTCCGACATAAACCTTCAGAGGATTATTGGATATTACGCAGATCATTCAATATCTAAGCTACATAATAAAGTCAGTAGGTATGTATCACATATACTGAGGTAAAGTAGTAACTCCTTAGGTACACAGAGCCGTAACGCGATAACGCTCAGTAGGCTCACTTCAGCCGAAGTCGCGTGTCTTGGCAACGAATAGCCTTTATCTAGTTTACCTTGCGACACAAAAATGGGAAAGTAAAATAAAAAACATTTACTGGAAGCAATTTGGATGTACCGTGTCAATTCAATTACCTACGTAGGACGCCCCAGTGCTGCCTCTGAGATTAGGGCAATGAAAAAATATTCCAGAAAAAAATATAACAAACATTTAAGGATTTTGATAGACAGGTACGATTTATAATTTTTAGACACACAAATTTCAATATTTTGTATATAGTGTAGCAACTAAACTCGTTAAAATATTTGACAATCAAATCTCTGAGAATAGTATCCTCGTATATATTAATCATAATACAAAAAGTGACCTCATACTTTGTAGCGGTTCAGTCGTAAAACATAATGAGTCACCATTGTTTGTGAGATCACAAACAAATTCCGTCTAATGAACGTACCGAAAGGCAATTTAGGAATTCAAAAGAGAGGACATGAAAGTAATAATGTGATTTTATATACTGGTAGATGAGTCCAGGCAAACGCGGGCCGCTGAGCGACGCAAACGAGTCGCGACCGAGCCTCACCGTCACAGATATGGACACAGTGCACGAGGAAAATGACAATGATAGGTAAGTTTTTCACTTATATATAATATATATGCTACAGTTTTTCACTGTGTATTTTGTCACATATTTTATTGTTTATAATATCTTACAGTTGTTTAAAAGAGCATAAAATAAGTTTCTTGTTCATGTTTTTTGGCTTATTATGCATTTTGAAAGGACGTTAACAACTTTTCTTATTATGTTACTTGGATAAATATTATTCCTATTTTAATGTAAATCACTAATAGTTCTTAGATTAATATAGTATCATGTTATCTGTGATTAAGGCACTCGTAATTAAATCAGTATTTATTACAAAATCTATTTTCACTGCTTGGCGTATATGCAAGATAAAATTGCATAATTAATTATTGTTACAATACCAAAAGAAGGATGTTGTCCAAGGATCTATAATAAGTTGAATACTGTAATGCTTACACTTAATTCCTTTGTTCTTTAATTTTAAAGTATTTTAAGCAGAACGGAATACTACATATTATAATATTTTTATGCATATAGTTGTAAGTGTTATAGGTTACAAATCGGAACTTATAATACATAATACGGTACAATAAGAGCCTACAGTGAATTGTATTGGCGGCTTAATGCGAAATGAAAAGCTATTCTTTGGAAAAACACGGGAAATTAATACGTCGCAACGCAGACGCCAGATAGTTGTCATAAACAAAGCGCAATACAGGCCCTAACCATTTAATTAAAGTTTCTTTTGAATTGTATTTTCTTTGTCTTCTTAGTTCAGTTTTATCTTAAGCTTTATCGTGTAATTTAACATATTTATGTGTTTAATCTATTATATTTTGTCTCTTCTTTTTAATATAGTCGTAGAAGCCTCTGCCCAATCCATTTAGAATTACAGCCATATATTTATTTCTCTACTCAATCGATACATTATCAACAACGTTAGACAAGAGTTGATAAAAATATTCCCAGTTTATTTATTTACGATATTTTAGAACTAAACATGTGATATACCAAACTTACCTAGAAGGTAAGTTTGGTATATCCCATGTTCATATATATACTTCACTATAATATACTATATATACTTACGCGTAGATATTGTAACTTCGTAATTTTGTAATAAATCTTTGCTATATATTACAAAATTAATTTATCGTGCTACTTATCTGAAACCATTTATTTTGAGAACAAAGTAAGAACGGTTCCTAATGTAATTAAATATACTGAAGCTTATTTGTGAATAAAATTAAATAATTTTATCTGTGTTTTGTACAAAATCCAAATTATAAAAGAAATTATTTTATATGATTTTCTTTTCTAAATAGTGTCTTTCGTAAATAGGTAATTGCGCAATATATCTTATATTATATTATAATATATTGATGACCAACATTATACTTTGAACATCGTCAATTCTTTCATTAGTTTGTCAACCTACGATAATGTAATATGAATATTAAAAATTAATTCGCGTCATTTTCATCTACATAAAGTTCTGTGTTCAATATTAAAGATTATAAAAAAATTATAACGTCTTCAATTTTATAAATATCTTTTATATGTACATGATTGGTATGATATGGTGATATATGAATATATGTTGCGAATATTTTGATATTCAGAAAAGGTTCGAGAGGATACAACTCAGCTTAGGGAGACATTTCCGGCGAACGGATGCACATTTCGGAGATTTTGCGCTCAACTATGCAGTCCAAATAGTTATACAACGCCGTTTCTTTAAATGTAGAAATCACAGGATGTTCCACTTATAGATTTGAAATTACTTCTAGCCACTCAAGTTTTTGCATGCATATTGGCTGTTTTATATACGCTGCCATTTATTATCAACAATATAAAATAATGGAAATTGATTTTAAAGATTCATCATAAATTTAATCATTTTCATCGATTGTAAATATACAAATAAAGAAGAAACAAAATACACACATAAAAAAGAAATACAAAATAAAGAAGGTTTATCTTTTTAATAAACCATTTAAATGAACAGCCTCGTATTTCATATAGGAATTGAAATAAATTAAATATGTAGATATCTTAAAAAATTGTACTTCACACCTAAATATAGCAAGTGTAAACAATACGAGCGGAATTTAATAATTAGATTCCAATGACTAACGCATCAAATTCTCACATGACTCATGGTTAATGATTTATTACACCATAATTTAAGAAGTACTAAGTTTCAAAATATTTCAGTAACTACAATCACTAGCTATTTCTCACTTTTGTATTTGTATACCGTGTCACAATCATTGCACTTCCTTAATTAGTAGCCTTATTCTATCTTTCATATAATTAAATTACATCGGAATTTACAGAACCAGTTTCCATCGGTACTGACCTCACACACACAACCTCACAAAAATAGATTGAATTAATTTATACTACTACTATACAAGTATAGTTTAATTATTTTATTAAATTATTTGTAAAACTTTCAACATACTGTATAGAAATATATACGGAAATGTAAAAATACATACCTACCCAGAGAGATTTCAGTGCAGCACAAGCTTCGACAATATTTATGACGTTTGATAGACTGCTTTGTGACGATGCTACAGCTTTCTGTATGTACGAGTATATAAAACAAACCTGCATTGCTCCTAATATTGGAATATATTTGTCACCTGCCAAATATTTATGCATTAAAATAAATCTAATAGAGTAGTATATTTTCAAATTGCTATTTTAAACTATAATGAGTTGAAAATAGGTACATTTTAATGGATACATTTATTAAAGATTTTATTTTTTTATTTATAATATTTTATTAAAAATAAAAAAAGAAATAAGTTCCCAGATATATCATAATACTTACGGTTTAACAACAACTTTCTCCATGGCAAATGGCTGTAACGGAAAAATAATAAACCGATCACATGACCGCGTACTCTATGAGAATTATTATGTTATTTTGTACATGTACTATTGTTATTATTGTATATTGAAACTCTAAACTTTTTTTAAGGAACTATATATTTCATTTCACTAGTAATATCAGAGAATTAGGGTATTAAATTTATGTATTTGGAATAGCAAACATGCTGACTGGCCACGTGATAATAAGCTGTAACCGTAGCCTATATGTACGAAATAGAACTACTATGTACGATACGTCACGACATGTGCCACCCGTCATACCGCTCATACTTTGCAGTACCAGAGTATTAGGACATCATACCTCTAATAATCCTGTAATTTTATTGCTTAATCAGCTTGACGACGCCGTCGGCTTTTTACAGTCTACTTTTAATAAAATATTTGTATGACATCAGTATTATTATGTTATCTGTGGTATTATCATTACTGATTTGTTACTTGGTTTGTTGTTAGTGATGAATCTTCTTATTCGGACCTGGGTCGCCTCCGGGATCGAACCCGCGCCATGTTGGAGACACCCGCCGAGCCATTGGTGCAGCATGCGCATTCACAGCCCAGCAGCCGCAGAATGTCTTCTGATATTGAAAGCAAACTAGCAGCTAACCTGAATACTCGGTGATTAAATATCATTTATTGAAACTAATATTCTAAGTAATAATATTTGATTCTTGTACATGTTTTGACATGATATATATCGTTTCAACAAGTCAAAAAATTCATTTTAAACCAAATAATCAGTTAAAAAGATTCTGGAACATATAGAAAGATACATTATCAAACTGTATTCTAAGCGGGTACACTCGCGACATAAATCTAGTTATGAATCTGGACACGCGGTCGCGTGTCAAGCCGAGTTTCAAGTAAGAGAACTGGCGAGCAGCACCGTGTGTATGTTTACACGAACCATTTGGAGCCACTTTTGACCCCCGCATAACTCAAAAACTCTTTCACATAAACCTGTCAAATTTGGTTCATATATTAAGACTTGCGAAATAAATATGTGTTCCAAATTTCATGTTATTTAGTTTAACGTCCAAATATCGTCATTTTTATCACTGATCAACTATCAAAATTATAACCCAAATGACCTAGGAAGTTCAAATTTGGCATGGAGACAGGTAATTAGGTGATTATAAAGGAAAAAACTGTAGTATACGAAATATACTGTATCCTTCGCAAGTTCTAAACATGTTACTTGTCGGTTCCTATTTTATTATTAGTAGTAACTAGCAATCGAAAGTAATAATTGGTATATGAGAACTGGCCAAGTTAGACCTTAGGCTACAGTATATTATCCTAAGTTATAAAAAGAAATGATGTTTTATATTGTTATAAATACATTTCAGGACAGACCATTGAACTTGGCACCCATTTAGACCTCACCTCTTTTGTCGTAAAAGTCAACAATCAAGGCATATATCATAATATTAAACTCGGCTATCATTTCACATTTATGCTTTTGATGGGATACACATTACTAGAAACTATGAAATTATTAAATTCTAATCTTTGTATCTCTAATCAGTTATTTTCCTATTCACAGAAAAAGTTGCAAATATATTTAACCTTATATAAGTACCGTAGCTCATGGTAAAATATTTGGTTGATGGTAAGATATATTTACTGAACAGATATAGCATTATGAATATATACTTCTTGCTTTTAAAAAATACAATCATCTGAATACTATGATATCGTGTTGTTGTAGACAGTTTCCAAACTAATATTATAAAATTCGTAAAAATTAATTATTGTATTTCTATCCACTTGTAACATTTTCATGACTGAACGAATATACATATATGAAATTATTAGAAATCCGTTCAGCCGTTTAGTCGTTAAAAGTCACAATCAGACACAGTTTTAAAGGTGTCGAAATGATCCCAAAAACATTGTCTATTCTGCCCCATCAGAACTCAGGCCATGAACCACCGCTTTACCTTCGTCCTTTACGATGTAAGTTCAGTGTTTATTGTCCTATATAGTTACAGTACGCCCGGTATCCTATTATTACTTAATTACTACATGTACAAGTAACTAAATGTCTAAACCAATATACAGGCGACCATCAGCAATCATCGCAGCGTTCCGACGACCATCGCAGGCGCTCGCATTGTGTGCCGCAACTCAACGCAGATTCCTGTCCGAACTGTCACCACATTCGCGTGCCTCCGTCGCTTCCACCGTACACGAACACCCGCCGTCGGCAGCAGAGATTTTGGGACAGTAAGTTTATTAGTTAATTCCTACCATTGGCTTCAGTTTCTATCTACACATTTACTGTGCTTGCTGTAATAAGATTTAATAGTATAGGATTATTGTAATACAATATTGTACAAATTGTGTTTCCTAGATGATTTCATCTAAATTTACTAATATATATATATATATATAATATAAAACAAGCACTCCGATCTGGTAATATATTTTATTTATTTCTTATAACTATAAGTCATCAAAACAAAGTTTCAATAATAAACACGTGCTACAAGTTTGTGAACTTGTCGACACAAGTAAAAAAGTATTATAAAGTGAAGCCATTTTTTCAATACTGAGTGGGATAAAATAAAATTAATGAGACAAGTATGGTAGGTAATATTACATGATAGATTAGATTTAATTCCATTAGAAAACCTGGTACCAAGTGTAACATTATATATAACTCATCGTTGTAAATATTAATAATTAACAATTCAAACACCCATTATATTTAATCATTCCAAAAGAGAAACAATAGACGCTGACCGTAAAATAAGATACTATACGCAAGTAGATATTAAATGTACAACAAAAAATAAATATTCTATATAAAGTTTATTAGAAAAATCAATGATGTGATGAAGCATTTAGAATTGTGTACAAGTAAACGACTGGAAAACTAACTGGAAGTGTGCAACATTCAGCTGAATAACATTACGGCGTCCTCATTGTACTGCTAACAATGTGTAGTCCCTACAATACTGTTCAAAAGCACAGCCTTTATTTGTTAATAGACAGACAGGTTGACAATACCTATGTGAACATTCAGTCCGAACACCTACACAGGTTTGTAATTAAAATGTGGAATTGTTTTCAATACCTACACTGATGGCGCATTCAAATTGCTATTACCAATGTCTGTAATTAATCTAATTAAAGCGATAATGATTTGTGGAGCACAGAGATATGTATTGTTCAAATTTATTTCATTGTACCGACGATGGGTAAGATTTTAAGAAAATATACACATTTCATTCAAAAATTTTACATTCATCAACTTTTCAAAATTGATGAAATGTAAAATTTTTTTCTGAATGGCTGCTATATATTAGAAAATAAGTATAATAAAGGCCTATCCTAAATTCGGTAATAAAACATAGTTATATAATATTTGATCATATACAGTTATATTAATAACTTGATTTCTTTAACATTTTAGTGCAATGGTATCATAGTAATAAAACATCAAAGAAATAGGTTATTAAAATATCATCAAAAAAGGCTCCTCAAAATCAGCGTGCGCTCATTCAGGAAATGTAAGAGAGGTGTACTTGACAAACATATGTAGTAGTCGTAGTAGTAGTCCCGTAATCTGTCGTGAAGATGGCCTAAATGATACGTTATTAAAGCAATATGAAACAAAATAATTTTGCAGTTCTAAACACAGTGACAATGGAAATCACTAAACGCTTCTAAGAATATTTCAAGTAGTTCAAGGGCGACCTATAAGTGCTTACGAAAGAACAGCAACTATAACTATATTTCATTGTGTTTAAAATAAATCGCTTTTATTATTATTCAGGGCAGTATATTAATTATATTAACATTTACAGCGAAGCTCTAAGCAAAGCGTTGTCAGCGCTCTATGCCAAACTTTTAGTGGTTCTGGGACTAGCATTTCCTGTCACAGAAGTCATTGCTAATGGTGTTCCAGATACATATTATCAGGTATACACACTCCTAAATATATACAATAAGATAACATAAATACCTATACTATTACTAAAATCTTTTCATCAATTATATGTTTTTTTTTTCAGGGTTTTTATCTATATCTTTATCTAGTTTCTCTTCTATTTGTAATATTTCAATATGCAACTTTAATGCGCCAAAAAGCAGTGACCCTAATTATACATACCCTAGGTAAGAGTCATAAATTATTTTAGCTCGTTTAATCTAAATAACTAAATAATAAAATAAAACAACTACACACTTTAGTAATTAGCCACATTTGCTTTACAAAATGCGACATTAAAATCACATCTTGTTTGCATAATTACGACTGCAAAGAATATTGCCTTCTTCTGTTTCCATTCCACTAACGTTTTCAGCCATTCGTATTAATGTACCGGAAAATTACTCAGTAAATATGTAAATTCAGATATTGTTAATTATACATAATTCAAACATTTAAATAATTTGCAGAAGACCCTGAAAAAGAAGAAAAAAATGGCAAAACCACGCCAGGTGAAAAAGCGAAGCCAAAAGAAAACAATCTCTCTCGTTATGGAAGTTTCTATTTAAGATTAGGTGCTATTGGTAAGTAATCAAAACTGCAATAGATTCACAGCGCTTCTTGAAATTTATACTAATTATAAAATATGTTTTTTCAGCATTCGGCATTGGGTCTATGGTGTACAGTGGTTTAGAGTTCGGTGAATATTTTGAAATGACAGATCGTTGCCGATCTGTTCTTGCAGTTATAACTCCAGGTTTGCGGATGGCGCTGACGTTAGCACAAATGCAATTTATTTTTCTAACAAATAAAGATATCGAAGCAAGTAGTTACAAGTTGATTCAGAGATTTGGATTTATGCATATGATCGCTACGAATTTGTGCGAGTGGCTATACGTTTTGGTTGAAGAAACAAAGCACGAAATACATCATTTAGAAATTCATCATATCTCGAATAGTACCCACCTCAATGACACTTTTGAAATACATTGTCGAAGAGCCAATATTATGGGAGCGCTCCTGCAGAATGCGTCACCTTTTCTATTTCCATGTACTATCGAGTATTCTCTTATTTGTGCTGTAATTTTGTATGAAATGTGGAAGGAGGTACTAACTCGTTTTCTATATTACTACCAATATATTGAATATACAATACATATATCTAACACTAGTTATAATTTTCAGGTAAAATGTACGCCAGAAGACTTTGAAAAAAAATTCAACTATACTAAAGCCAAGTCCCGTAATAACTCAATGACACCTGAAAAAATTCTACAACAATTCGGTAATATTATTATTATAAATTTATAAGACTCAGCATACAATAACACGACAATATCATGTAACCATACTGTAACCATTTACCTTCAGAGCGGCCACGTACACCTTATCTAACATGAAACATATAACCCTGTAATAAATATTCTATAACCCGGTGCCTCCCGGATTCTCTCGCCATTCAATTAAAAAGAAACGGCGGCTACCCGGATCCACCCAGTTACATCGTTTCGTCCGCTTGCGCTATTATTTAGTTTTCGTTAACTTTAGGCGGTAGCGTTAAATCGACTACCGTCTCCAAAAATTCTTCCTATATTAATCTTAACTTCATACGTAACAAATTTTTATATTCTGACTTTCAAAAATTTGTGCTTACATACAAAATATTCGTCATCTTTATATTATTGCTTAGTATACTATATATAATAACTATATACTATATATATATAACTACATATGTATATAATTATAATTAGATAATGCATATTAAGAGTACAGGGACTCGTTTGCATTACAAACTGTATACATATATTCCGAATTTTAAAATATTAAATACATAATAAAATTAAATCAGTTATAGTGATTAGAGCAGACCAGTCCCTACAAGTATTACTCGTCGGATTTTTCTAATTTTATTTACATGTTTGTATTTTGTAGCGGGCATGCTAGGAGTAAGTTCCCCACACGGAAGCCGGGCAGCACTTCATCACTTCTCTGTAGACTGCTCTCATGCACACCGTGGACTCTTTGCTGGAATTCTGCTTATAGTCATCACTATTATTTCACTCATCATGTTCTTCGTGTTAGTGAGCAATCCGGAGACTGTTAATGTAAATCACTTTTTTACTTTTTATTCTTATATATACATAAACAAGTAAGTTTATGTTAACACTAACTCTGTACATTAAAAATGAAATGAAATGAAATGAAATGAAATGAAATGAAATTGAAATGAAATTGAAATTGAAATTTATTTTTATTTGCGTATTATACAGTTAGATATTATAATATGTCCAGGTAATAATATTATTGGCAACTGTTTAATTGCCCCAATTTACGGGCATGCAAATTTTGGGTATATTAAAATGGAATAATTTAGAATATTATAATTTAAAATTAATGTCTTATGTACCATTCTAATTATATAGTAATAAAAAAAAAAAGTCAACAATCATCACATAAATATTCTTTGATGTCATAAAAACACTTGTCCAGCAACCAGTAATATAATCGATTTTTTAATTTATTTAAGGGCATTTTTCTCAAGTCCGGTGGTAATTTATTAAAGATTTTTTTTGCCATAAATGATACATTCCTTTGGTAAAGCGTCAAATTGCTCTTTGGTACCAATATTTTATTTCTTCTCTGTGATCTGAGACAGTCTTTTATCTGATCATGTGTGCTAAACAAGTTTGGATGTTGTTTCACAAACGTGCAGATATCAAGTATATACATACAAGGCAACGGAAGAATACCAAGTTTCTTAAATAGAGGTCTACATGATTCTCTGCATCCGACATTGCAAAGGGCTCTAATACATTTTTTTTGAGCTTTAAAAGCTCTATCTATGTCACATGAGTTGCCCCTGATTAGCAATCCATAACGCAATACAGAAGAAACAAACCCATGATACGCATTGAGCGCAGTTTGTAAAGTGGCCACTTGTCGGAGTCTGAACAATGCAAATACAAATCTATTAATTTTTCTGCAAATATTGTCAACATGTTTTTTCCAATTCAAGTTTTCGTCTAGTGTAATTCCTAAAAATGTAGTAGAGTCCACTTTGTCTATTTTTGTTCCATCATGCAATATATTTAAGTCAATTTTTGGGCTGGAGTATGTCTTGAAATGAATGCATTTAGTCTTTTGTAGATTAATTTTCAAGTTATTATTATTTAGCCATAGTATAACTCTATCCAATGCACTATTAATATCTTTATTAAATGTAGCTAAATTTGTACACTTACATAGTAATGTACAATCATCTGCAAATAGAATACACTTTTGGTCAACATAGTCTGGCAAGTCATTTATGTAAAGGAGGAAAAGTAATGGGCCCAGAATACTTCCCTGAGGAACTCCATTTCTATTAAATTTAAACTGAGAGTGTACTGATTCTCTTACATTTTTTTGCATACTCATTAATTCGGTATATTGACTTCTGTCTTGTAGGTAGCTTCTAAACCAATCCAATGAAATTCCCCTGATACCTAAATTGTCCAATTTGTTAAGTAATGCTTCATGTTCTACCATATCAAAAGCTTTTGTCATATCAAGGAATAGTGCTATTGTTGGTATTCTATTATTAATATTTTCACAGATATCTTTTATTAAGTGGTAACATGCAAGCGATGTAGATTTTCCTCTCTGGAAACCAAATTGCATAGGTTTGATGACATTATTCTTCACAATAAAATCGTTTATGCGGTTAGCCATAACTTTTTCAAAAATTTTCGCAAAGTTTGAGATTAAAGCTATTGGTCGGTAATTATTTATGTCTAAAGTATCGCCTTTCTTGTGAATAGGTTTGATCACAGATATTTTGAGACGGTCCGGAAATATACCTTTCTCCATCGATAAGTTAATCACATAAGATAAAGGTATAGCCAGATGATGTGAACATAATTTGATCATTTTTGTATTTATGTGATCATATCCTGTAGAGTTGGTTTGGTTTAATGTTCTGATAATATTATGAACTTCTTCTTTAGACACAGGAGCTAAGAATATACTATTACATACATTTGATTTATTTAATTTAATGTCACTTATTTTCCAATTACTTTTAAGATTATTATTATTATTCGAAATCTCAATGAAGTAGTCATTAAATATGTTCACAATGTTAAATATATTGTCTATATTCTTATTTTTGTGTCTAATTGTATTAATGTCATGTTTCAATATAGGCGAGTCAATATGTTTCCGTATTATAGTCCAAGAAGCCCTGCCTTTATTTTTAGAGTGGTATATATACCTACTGTTGATTATTTTTTGGGCTTTAAATATACATTTTTGAAGAATTTTTGAATATCGTTGGTATGATATTTTGTTGTTTAATTTATTATATGGTTTAGATTTTATATATCTGTTATAAAGTTTGCGTTTTTTATAGCAGCTTTTCCTAATGCCCCTAGAAATCCATGGTGATTGAGTCATTTTATTACTTAATTTAATTTTAATCAATGGAAAGCATAGATTGTAGAATAATATTACAAGGTCATGAAATTCATTAAACGAGTCATTTACTTCTGATTTATCAAATACCTCAGAGAAAGAGATATTTTTTATACACTCAACAAATTTATATATGTTCTCTCTGTTAAAATCTCTTCTAAATTCATACCACGTATGGAGTCCCTTGTAAAGTCTATTATGGAATGATAGGATTTGTGCTGTATTATGGTCAGAGAGTGCCAATTCGTCAGTTCGCCCACTGGCTCCATGTATGTTTGATGCTATTATGTCAATACATGCACTTTTTCTTGTAGGAGATAGTATATTCATTTTAATATTATAATTTTGTAATATACTTGTAATGATCTCTGCATGTTTATTCTGTTTGAGGAGATCAATATTCCAGTCACCACATAATATTATTTTAGATGATTTATTTTTTAATTTATTTAATAAAATATCAAGATTTTCAAAAAATACATAAATGTTTGCTGTTGGTGTTCTGTAAATGCAAATAATAATTAATTTCTGACTTTTTATTTCCACACCACAGGATTCAAACTCATATGGAGTAGAAAGGTTTTCTGCAATATGCAACTTGTTGTATAATAAATGTCGTTTTACAAATATGCATGTACCACCCCTTTTTTCTGAATCCCGGCAGTAATATGAAGCTATTATATAATTATTTAAACAAAGATTTGTTTCTGTCCCCTTTTTAATGAATGTTTCACTTAAGCAGATAATATTTATGTCCTGACCTTTATTTTTATAATCTTGCAATACTATTTCAAGCGTATCTTTCTTTTTTAAGAAGCTGGCAATGTTTTGATGAAAGATAAGAAAATTATGACAATTATCCTTGACTTTCTTTGGTACAGCAACTGTTTTATTTTTAGTAGTGGTGAGTGTCGCAGTTGGTTCGAAAAAAGGTGTGATTATAACCAGGATGCATTATTTTGTCAATTTTTTTAAAATAGTAAGGAATTGTCCCTTTCTTTATTGATGATTTGTCCGAATTAATTTGAGTTGTTTTAGTAGCGATTAATTTTGAACAACTTGTACTTTTCCTCGATATAGTCTTATTGAAATAGAAAGGTATCGTGCCTTTTTTATATACTTTTAAATATTCCTTAATTTTCCTAGGTACTAGGTATGTATCTTCATAGTCTGCTGAGTCAATGATTAAATTTATGGTGTGAGAGTACTGGTATCGTATGGGTAAATTACGTATCCAATTATTTTTAGGTAAAGAGACATATTTGCAATTTTTATGATTGTTGACTATTAACTGTATATGTGAATTTAATGTGTCTATGTTAAGAAACCTATTTGATGTAACTTCTAGTATATACACTTTGAGATCTATAGTTTTTGAAAGAAATATACTTAAGTCGGACAATAAGCTGTATGGTTTGGTGTCATTTGCACCAATTACAAGTAGCAATGAATCTCCCTTGCAGAGTTCGTCAGTGTACCCATTATTCCTAAGAATAGTGGAGCTATCAGCGCCAGGCCGTACAATTGAACTTATGATGTAGTTGTCATTCCATTTGTAAAATTGCAGGATGCCATATTTGAAGTGAATATATGCGAGCTCGTTCTCTATTCATTGACTCTCTTAGCTGCAGCGGCAGCTATCAAGCAAATGCGAGTGTTGCCATATAAAAGGAGGTCAGAAGGTACTTAATTTTTTTTCTTCAATTATCTTTTTTTGTTTTTGTTAATCTAGGATAATAGATTGAGTAATTCGAAGATATATTATGTATTATAATTTTAACCCTCGATGCAAAAAGATACCTACTTGTTATAAGTTCGAAATAATCCGTGTATTTCTTGGTTTCTAAATGAAATGACCTATTATGATGTCTCTTTTGGTTTAACGATTACGTGATCGATAAAAATCTCCAATAAAAGTTAGTTAAGGTCTAAACTACATTTTATTGGAGATTATTACCGATTCGGGGATTTAACTATTTCATTACTGATTTTTATATTTATTAACTGTTATTTATGAGTACACGTATATAACTTTGTATGTACGTTCTTATTTTAAAAATTAATACTAGGTATTATTATAAATATTTTATTCGTGTTTTGTTTTCAGCGGTACTCGGGCTTGACACGTCGCTCCTGATTCTTGCACAGTCGGGCATGTTCGTGTACTGCATGTTCAGTTTAATTGGATGCCACCATACAATGCAAAGCGATCAGGGCGCTGGTCTCACTGGCTTTTTTTCTGAATTTTTATCTTTAAATCAGGTATGAAAATTGTCAACATAATATGCAGTACATATATAACTTTTTCAGCGCCGATGGCGGAGAATCTTACTAATATTATATACGTGAAAGATTGTGAGTATAGATGTATAGATGGATGTTTGTTACTCTTTCACGCAAAAACTACTGAACTGATTTTGATGAAACTTTACAATAATATAGTTTATACATCAAAATAACAAGCAGACTATACTTTAAAAAGATATTATGTAAGTTGAGCGAAATATAATGATAAAGGTCAAGTACTTAAGTGTAATGCAGACGAAATTGCGCAAGTCAGATAGTAGTTGATAAATGTGTATTTATGCGGAAAAAAACTCGAAATGAAAATTAAATTATTCTCTAATGATATGACGCCCGTGGCAGCATTACCAGCGATAATTGGTTGTGGTTGTCATAATCTTGTTGACATTTATTTTTACTACTAAACTAAAACCTCATAATTGTAACATAATATACATACATTCTTATAATTATATCTTTAATAGTACGCAAAAGTAGGTACCATTTACCTTTTGTATTATGTGAATTGAATTATATAGGTATATTAATATATACATGAAATAATTAATATTTCACAAGAATACTTCTCACAATCGCAATATGCAAACATTTGTATTCATGAGTATGACTGTTTGTTCTGGTATGGGTGTGTTCTATTCTATGTACATTATGTATGTATTTACAAAAGAAATGACTGAAATACATATTTCTGTTAGTTAGCTAGTACCCGTAACACAGACTTCTTTTAGTGCTATTTATGTCTTTCAAATTGTCCCGGTTTATTAGTATTATATATTTATTTTCTTTGCAGACAATATTACAATCCTTGTTCATAATAGACGCTTGGTGGCGCCGTAGTGCCACTTCAGAACAGAGGCGGGAGAAGCCTGGTCGACAACTAGTCACATTTTTACTCGTCGCTAACATGGCAATGTGGGCCATTAATACACTTGAGAAAGTAATATATATTTATTTTACATCTAAACAACAGCAACCAACATTGTTCGATTTTATGTGAATAAAGTTACCATGTGGGATGACAATGTATCATATAATACATTGTTTAGTTTGCCATGAGCGGCATATTATATACGAGTACTTATTCTTGTAATGTTAGGGTTGTTCATGTCTATAGGCCTATTACCTTTTTCTGCAAGTTCCAGATGTGATTATTATCTATTCTGAATAGCTTATAAGAAATACGTAAGCACTTTTTAATACATACGAGTTGGTATTATGTACATGGTACGTCGGTACGTAGATTACGATACGTAGTTATTTACTATTATATTAAAAGTTACATACTTAAGTAGTAGTAAAGTAAATACTGTAACGAAACTCAATAATAATGACGTAATACATAGAGCTTGATAAATACTTTCTTACATTAAAGAACACTTATGCCCACGTTATAACGATGAATGAAAGTTTATACAGAATATAATGTCCTTTTAATTTTTATTATAATTGGTTTTAATATATACAAAAGTTTACAGATTATTCAAATAATATACAGAATTTGAGAGCTATTTATACGGATTCAGAAAATACTTTCAAGGAACTTCATTTACATGTTTTTTTTATTTACTGCAGAACCGTGCGGAGTTTAGGCCAGCTCATCTTTCATTCTACGGACCCTGGGCGTGGACAATCATCACACATGTGTCTATGCCACTCGCCATCTTCTATAGATTTCACTCTACTATTTGCCTCTTCGAAATTTGGAGACATAGTTTTAAGAATAAACCAATATATCTGGATGTATAATATCACAACATCTAAAAAAATAAATATATATATACATAAAAATTAAATGGTTTATTTTATTACTTCAAAATAATCTTATAAGAATATTAGATCACTCCCCAATAAAGTTTTGTTAGAAAGTAAATAATCTTCTTTATATTTCTTGAGGTATGAGTACCTATACATAGACTAGATCGCTCGTACAATTAACCTTATGAACTGGTCATACATTGTACTGGCCATTTCTCTCAGTAAACATCTATACCTACTCATTTTATTGTTTTCGGATTATGCTCTCTCTATATACTTATGATTGATCACCACATAAGTTATATAATCCGAAGTTTATTTTTTATTATATGCTATATAAAAATAAATCAAATTATTATATTATGATAGTATTACGTGATCATTATTTTTAGATAATTTTACTATGTACCTACTACAATCTTGCCCAAATTCTAAGATTCTTGACAATTGCAACCTAACAGTTTCAAGATAGGAGGATCTGTTATGAAATGCCAAAGATACATCAAATAAATCTAAGATAATAGTAATAAAATAAAAACAATATATATTTATAATACTTTATTGTAAAAAACATTTCACAAAATGAGGGTTATTTACGAGTCAACCAATCAAAATCTGAAAGGAATTGTGTAGTGATGGAAACAGAAGTTTAGAATAAATAAGAATATATAATAAAAACATTATACATAAATATATTAAGCTGAAATACCTGACCTCGTGTAGTAAAATAACTGTTTTAACCCAAAAGTATAATATTATGTCGTGTTCACTTTCACAGAAGAACACATTGTGTGCTTTTAGAAGCTGAGTCTATTCTTAGATAGATACTGTATGTAAATTCCTCATCAGCATCTTGCATTCAAGTCATCAGTCAAATTATTACTTGGCTCATGACTTCTCGTCTTTATAAAATTCAAGATACTAATTTGTAAAATTCACATTCTTATATTGCATCTTGATGAATCTACTTCATACATCAGTCAGTCAGTCATAGTTAAAAGTTTTATAATTTAAAACAAGTTTTTAAACGTTAAAAAATATCTTCAAATCGTATTATTATTTGCAGTAATAATACCGGTTGGTATGTTTTTTAATAAATTACTAATTTAGTTAATGAGTGCTTCCGACATCTCTAAATTCAATATCCGTGAAGGTGACCATAATATGAAAATTATCTCGAAACCCTTTGTCCAATGCGATGCTGATAATACGCTTGCAAACAATACTGCAAATTGTCAAAGTAGCTCAATATCCTATTATCTTAATAAACAATTAACTAAATGTAATTATGGTCATATTCCAAATAATTATGTCAATACAAAAAAGTATTTTACAAGTATTTATTCAAAGATAATTAGTCAACATATCTGCATTTATAGGTATTTTACAAATATATAAAAATTATTACAACGATTATAGTAATTTATAACATTACTTACTGATGGGACATGTCATATAAAGAAAATATATCATTAGAAATTTATTATTGAGGAAGATTATTGCCTAATTACATACATGCAATATATATATATGTTGACTACATAATTACATATATAAAAATTATTACAACGATTATAGCAATAATGGGAGTAACCATATAAAGAAAATATATCATTAGAAATGGTTTTGAGGAAGATTATTGCATACAAATATCAATTAGAGAAAGCCTGTCAAGTGCAACTTGTAGTTGACTATGTAGTAAGATAATGTAATTATTATTTAGTAATTAGGTAATTATGTGTTTCTGTCAATATTATATATATTTAATCAACAGCCTAAATTATAAGTCTTTAGGCTTCTAGCTTTAAAAATGACGACATTTCCATATAACCTTTCATATTCCCTTACAACCCTTTTTTCGCATTAAAAAGTAGGCTATGTCTAGACTCTCTTTGTAGCACATATTATTTAAATTGGTTCAGGAGTTTTGGCGTGAAAGCCAGATAGGCAGACAAACAGTCAGAGTTACTTCTCCATCTATAATATTAGTAAGAAGTAAGGATTACATAACGAAGAATATAAATACTTTGATAAATAGATTATGTTACTTGTATTTAAAAAATAAGCATCAGTTTTAGTGTAGTGTAGAGTTCATATAAACAAGTGAATTTGATTTTCAGTCAGCTTGTTGCGTACTCTTAATTAATTAACTACATCAAATATTTACTGAGTACTATCTGCTTACTGCATGGTCGTGGTTTGGATTACATCAATATTTATATCAGACTCTACGACGCCTATGTTAGTCATAGATAAGGGAATCTTATATCGGATACCGCGGTGACTTCACTTCAGTTCGCTTAAAGTTATTAAAAACAAGTGACGGAAAAAGCATTATAAAATTTAATTGACTCAGTTCGCGATTATTTACATCCATGCAAATATTGCAATTTAATATGGAAGACATTATCGAAGAAGATGAAGACTGGTTAGTGTAGTCAATAATCAAAATATATTTAACATAACGTAATTAGGATTTTTTAAAAAAACATATTAGTATTTCAAAGATTTCTATACCAGCAATCATTATTTCCTAGTATATAAAGATGGTATCTATTCCCTAAAAACTACTAGATAATTATCTGCCTTTAACAAAAAGAAAAGTATAAAATTTAATACAAAAAACTTATATCAAGTCTAAAAGGAAATATATCTATTACTCCATAAATTAATAAAGCACCATTATTTTTTAATGCTTAGTCAATTACAATTGGTTACTTTAAACTACTGTCCAACAAGCTCAGTGTGTAACTAAAAAAGTAATACAACGTAATAAAGGCAATAATCATTATTTATATAATACTAGTTACTCGACCCAGCTTCGCATGAGTGTACAAGTATTATATATATTTATAAACATTCCTCTTGAATCACTCTATCTATTAAAAAAATCCGCTTCAAAATCCGTTGCGTAGTTTATCATACATAGGGACGGACAGACAGTTTGTTTTATACTATTTAATAATGATATATTGACATTTAAAAGGTTAGCTGAGACGAACACGTTGAAACCGTCGACATCTTGTGAGCACTTCCATCCTGGCTCCCATCCCTTTCTACCTCATAGACAGCGTACTGGAGTATCAGAAAGCAGAATTCGTTATAACCGGTTAGTATACCCACTGGCAACATCTTTTTTCTTTTGTACAGTATAACGGTTTTACAAATTCATAATATCTAAATTTACAATACTACTGGTAAATTTGCGTGCAATTGATGTTAAACAGCTCGTTTTGATTACTATACGAGGAAGGCATTTTTAATGGAAAATTCTTTTTAAGAAAGGTACGTATAAGACCAGCAATGTCCAATCAAAATATCTATATTTATGTGGATCTATTACAGACTCCTATGATATGTCAAATTTACCAACATTTCGTAGTGCGATAGCATACAGCTTAGAAGAAGTGACAAGAAACTCAGCTCTTATTCTTTTCAAATGAGCTTGTATAAGTTTACAAAAATATAGATTCATTTTTAAAATAAAATAAGAGAACTGAGTAAATATAAATGTCTTTGACATTAATAATATTCTCTGTACGACAAGGCAATTTTAAGGTGTCAATATCCTGTGATAACGTACGATCAAAAAAAATATTGGTAATAAAATCAATGATGTTATATTAGTCAATGAAACAGCAACATTTAACTGCAGTAGATTAAAATAAAATAAAAATCTACTATACAATTGGTAAGTTAAGTTGATTTATTCCACGAATCATTTATTTGTCTAATAATAGGAGTTCTTAATATTAAAACTAAAATTGTTTATCTAAATATATGATCTATAAGTTATTATTAAATTCCACAACTTTTTGTTAAATTAATTTTATAATTTGAAAACATTTTAAATATAACTTAATGTTTTTTTAAAAAGCCTTGTACCAAGAACCGTTTAGAGTTAGACGTGTAATTAATCGCGTGGTAGACGAGGAGTGCAGGCGACGAGGGACGGTATATGTGGCTCGTTAGTACGGCCGTCTGAAAGTGACACCAACGCCGCTAATTACCCGTGAGGACAAGATCCTGACTACCGCCGATGCAGATTTATTGCAACGCTCAACAAATCCCTCCATTTCGAAGATATTTCTGCACGACAAAAAGAGAAAAAATCTCAACGTACTGCAATAAATTTGTTTAAAAAATATTATTCTGTTAATAATACTAATACTAATGACATAATTTTCCTGTTTACCAATTAATATACTCGTTCTTTTTGTTTGTTACTAGAAAGTATAAACATAAGTATATTAAAGACATTAAATAATATCTTACCTACTCATACTATTCTGTTATACTTTACAATTGCATACTCTCTCTATTCTAACAATTCGATAAATCAACTGTCGTGACAAATTTCATAAATAAATTATTATATACAACGGTTAATTATTCTTTTAAGACGTAATCAGAATATATATATATATATATATCTCGCTTTCAATTTATTTAAATAACAGTTTCTAATTTAATTCAAGAGACTTTTACAGTCTTTCCTTAAAACAGAACTGATTTGTCGAATTAAAAACTTGCTCCTTTTGGCAGTCGGTTAAAAAGGGATAAATAAAGCTTCCGTTGTTTACATTGTTGCAAGGTGAAATAATTTACTGCCTAGTGTGATATGACTCTCTAATCATTAGGTATGACGCATAAGGCAAGTTGGTAGTTGCAGGCGGACACGTAAGAACATAAATATCTTAACGTGACTGAACTGTGTGTCACTACCTACCATTGATAAATATTAATAAAAACAGGCAATAAAATATTACATACAAAATATTAAGAGAAAAACTATAAATAAAAGTTTTATTAAAATTTTTAGTAGATACTAATGAAATATATTTTATTAGCTTTTTCTGCTTCTTAGGGCTCCACAACATTTTGCTAAAGTATTACAATGTAATACTTTTTACTTTTATTTCATTATTAGTTTAAAAGAATATCCAGTCATCTTGTATGTTTAACCTACATAATGTATTGGCTCTGTCACAAATTATAACTAATTATTTACACACACCACAGCATTACTCACTTCAGCGGAGCATTTGCGTACAGTTCATGGTTAGCACCACGACTATCAACACTGTATATTTATACTGAAGATTTAAAAATTATTGTTACGATCTTTAAGCTTTATTATTTTAGTGTAATTAAGAAATTTTGAGCGAATTGATAATGCAATCAAATAGTAGATTTCAATTTAAATCGGTGGACTCAATCTAATTATTAAATAAAAAAGGGGATATCTACTAACAAAAATGAAAAATAAAGAAAAATCTAATCAAAATACAGTGAAGGAGCGACGTGATGGCCGAGAGAGGTCTGAGCCGCTACTCGCCGTGCCTGAAGATGAAAGGTGAGACCGCCGAGCGGTTCATTAAAACGCACTATTAGTCGATAAACGTTCACTGAAACAAAACAACTTCGCTCCGTTGTAATGATCATCACTTGTTTTACTGTAAATTTCATTTTCCGCTGTCCTAACAATTTCAATTGTTATTTCATTGGAGCGAAAATAAATAAAATAAATTGGTACACTTTTATAGTCATCATATTGTATTGTAGGTACTAAGTTTATGGAAAATAACAGTAGATCCGAAGTAACTTATAAATAAACGTTAAAATTTCGCACGCTCTTCAATGCAGATCAGTATCATTGAACTGCAATTTAATATTAAGCGTGCAATTTCTTTCTGTAACCGTTGAATAAATCCATATAATCTACATCTATTCTTAATTATAAGTACCTATCTGAAACTTGTATTTATACCAAATTAAAAAAATATTGCGCAATCTATGAAAAGTTGATCAATACGAATTTCATACACAATATATCTATTAATATAATTAGAAAAGAAAAGAAATTTGTAGAGATTGCATTATCAGTATATAGGTAACAAATTCCGCTCTTGTTATTATTAGTAAACATATTGACCATGGGTTCTATTAACACATTGTAGGTATATTTTTCATAGTACCTAATAGTTATGGATTACGTGCGTCATACTGTTAGCTTATAATAAATGCATGATACTAATTAATAAAATAATGACTATAGAGACATATTCCTTAATAACTAATCAAAGTGTTTCTATATTCTTAAAGTATAATAATGGCATAAGTATCACTTTATTACGCATTTAACATATATATAATTATTCTCCTCTATATTATTTAAAATAGTTTAGCACAAAGTTTAAATGATTACTTTATAAAAAAAAAACCAATACATCAAAACATTTAGTGCGAGACATCATCAAATGGTTAATCACTAAAATCTACATGCTTCTAGAGTAAAATATGAGTACTGTTGAAGAATGAGTAAGTAAGAATAATCTACTACCTAAAAAAGAAGTAACAATGTAAGATGAATAACGTGGTATGCTTGATGTGCAGTTCAAACTCTTTGACAAATAGTACATTAGAGTACAATGACTGAGTATTCGGAAGACGTTGACAATATTTATGAAAAAGTACCAAACATTTAGCTTATTATACATAATGCCACAGTAAGGCAAGGGAAATTACAAAAAATTGCATTGAGCCTAAGTTCAACAATATTGACATATTTTTTTATTTGGTTTTACTCTAAATAAACTCGGTTTTTCTCACCTCACAATCGAAATCAAAAACAAGATAAGAATCTATATTGGAGAGATTATGTATATAAACAGATAATATTTAAAGGGTAAAAAATAATTATCTTATAGTCTTCTAATATTTACCTAATAGTAACTGTATGTGCCAAGTATACCTATTGTCAATTCCAAATAAAATTCCAAACATTATATTCTTTAAGAGTTAATGATTAATAATATTTTCAGCGAACATCCTCCACATTCACTGCCTCGGCTAAGCGTAGTCCTACCTGCAAGCACCTCTTCTAGTATTGACAACATCCCACCACGACAGTCTCGAAACCGACCACTATCACAGGGCGAGTAAGTTCCAATTCTATCAAATACGCTTTTAACCATTTTTATTTATTTTAGTCATTATATATAATGATTATCGAAAGACGAAAACAGTGAAATATGTTCTAGGCTATTTAAAGGGCTTCATTATCATCCTTCATATCGTCGTCTTATCTTCACCCTTGAATTCTATTTTATTCTAGTGTAGAGGCATGAATTTCGCCCGGTTTTTGAAGCGCTGTATAAAGGAAACAATAAACATTTTTACTATATTTTTTTTATCATTTGTTTATTGAAAACTATCAAAACAAAATTGGCAGAGTTATCAGCAGTCAAAGTGGTTGTCACCCTCCTGATGAACTGAAAAATAATAAACAGACGGATTCTTAGCTTAGCACGGGTGTACCTGTATTATACATATAAACCTTCCTCTTAAAACACTCTATCTATTAAAAAACGCTTCATAATCCGTGGCCTAGTTTTAAAGATTTAAGCATACACAGGGACAGACAGCGATAGCGACTTTGTTTTATATTATGTGATGATACATGGACCTTGGATAAATAAAAATATTTTTTTTCTAAAAATGGAGACATTTTGTAAAAAATTTTTTTTAGCAAAACCGATTTTAATAGTACTAAATGAGAAATTATAGTTTTGATCAACGTTCATGCGATAAAGAGATTTGTAAAGAACATCCTCTTCAAATTTGAAGTAAATTGGTAAATTAGAACTCGAGATACCGCCAGCTCGAAAAAAATAGTTTCGAGAAAAACGCGTTCAACGTTTTGAATAGTCATATTTTGACAATTTTAATGCAGATATAGAAAGAAGTAAAGAATATTGTGTGTCTTTTTAATCGGCGATTTTATATAAATAAGAATCCTACAGTATACAAGTAACAGATATTCCTAAACAATATAAAGGGACATTCATAATTAAGAACTCGGCACTTACAGTCTTTTTTTAATATGTTCCGGTTGACCGGAACCGATGCCACGTCACTAAAACAGCCTACAACTCATTAAATAATAGGAATTTTGAAAAATCCTTTTAATGGCATATTCTTGAATATCTAAATATTGGAAATATGAAATCAGATATCAAAACAGAACTTTTTTTATAGTTAGTAACTCATTTCTTTAAATACATATCTCACTAAAGAAACGCAACTTCATTCCACAATTAATTGCTTACTCCGCATTTTATAACTTTGGTAGACTTTATTAGCAATTATTAATAAGTGATATTAAGTATATAGACAGTGTAAACGTAAAAGTCTTAAATTAGCCTAGGCTTACATGCCTTTGGTAATTAGTGTTATATTCAATTTCTTTTATTTTGTATTTGTGTCAAAAAACTTTCCGTTAGACATTTGCTTTAATGTAATGTTTTATTTTATGTAGATCTATATAGATAGCAAGCAGCGAAAAAGATGTTTTATGACAGATATATTTTAATGTTTCTGCAAGCCAATACATCGGGCCACTTATATCTATACTAAATGTATCAAATTTACTATAGACACATACTATAGACACATATGTAACTAAAAGAATATGTATATACTTGTACATCGATGAAAGTACAATAGATTTTAAAATCTATTCAATCAGTGTTCTAAATATAATAATATACTTTATAATGGTTAATATTAGTGGTGTCCAAAACTTTAATTTAACATTAATTTAATAATCTGTCGAGCGCTTTTATTACTTGGCTCAATTTCATGAATTTATCCAACACACGAATGTCGTTACTCATTTGAATTAGGTGCATTTGCAGATTAGGCAATTTTAATAATTAATCCTATATTTCGCGTTGTTTCAGCGAGTCAATGACAGTGGTGTTATCAGCGTTCTATGCAAAATTATTAATAGTTTTAGGGGTAGCTTTCCCCGTGACCGGCACTATTCAAAATGAACTTAATACAAACATTACATCTGATGTAAGTACCTATTCTTTTTCAATATATTAATTAGTATTATTATTCAAAAGAAAATACACATTATAGCCTTAGTGTGTATGCGCTTATAAAATTATGGATTTGCTGTAGAAATTTAAAGCATAGGTATAATAGAAAATACATTTACTTATTATTAATATTTGTTAGTCATAAAAGATAGCATAAGTTCATCATAGATAACGATGATGAACTTATGCTATCTTTTATCACTATCAATCTACTATAAAATTTTAATAATTACAGCGAATATAAATAATATTTCCTATTCTATTTTACAGATTTTCACAATGTATCTATACATTGTTAGCATGGCATTCCTTGCTTACACTTTTTATCATCTTAGATTGGCGAAAAAAGATAAAAACGGTATGTTACTACATAATATTTGTGATATTTAGAATAATTCCTAACAAAAACTATCACTAACGAAAGCTCAAAAATTTTCTTAACTATCTATGTATAGTTCACATATAATCATACATATTCTAGTAATACTGAAACTAATACTATTGAAAAGGAGAATAGATATTTTACTTGTTTGAGTCTACCTAAACTTTGTAGTACTTTGTACAGAGTCCACTGCGTGCCATACCTATATATTTCTACAGACAAGCAACTTGTTTTATTATTTTGAAAAATAAGTGTGACGGTGAAATTAAACGGTACGAAGACATGAAATGTACTAAGTATATGACTCCTACTAAGTATATGTTAAGGGATCCTGTGGTGTCACGTAACATATATATATAAACAAAATATTTGATATCGTCTAATGTTTGACCAAACTGATTTTTGTACCTACAGAAAAAGCGAGGCGTACGCGCTATGGCAGTTTTTATCTTCACATGGGAGTGGCTGGTTTTAGCGTAGGTTCGATCATCTACTCCTGCCTACAGTTTGGGGGATACTTTGATCTCACAGGGGATTGTCAACTAATAATCGTTGCCGTCAAACCCTCACTTCGTATACTGTTCATGATTGCGCAGACAGTTTTTATCTTCTCTTATACAGACGTAAGTATTGTTTCATTTTAGAAATATTTATACATCATGAACTGTTTGCCCCATTACTAGCAATATCAATCTCAGCTATATAAGGTTGACATTCATACAGTCTCCTCTTCAATCCATCCTGATTAACTACTAGTGATTTGGCCATGGCCATTTCATCTATAAAATAAATTGTAACTACGGAAAATTTATAATATTTTATGATGAAATAATTTATTAAATATATTTATTGTATAAACTCTATAAAAATAAGTAATGGGTAGGCACATAAGATATTTCATTGAACCTGAATTGAACTATCTTCGGATACAAGGTTCAAAACAAAACGCAGGAGCGATAATTTTTGTTATTTGTATTTTGTCTACAAGTCTGGTTTTCTAAATATATCAAATAGAAGTACATATTGATCTAGAGGTTTACTGGTCCATCGTTCAAAGAATAGACAAAAAAATTATTGTCTCTTTATTTTCAAAACCATTTAAAATATTATGTGCCTAATACATTTCTGACTACAAATAAAAATACATAAGTATCCTTTGTAAATGACGTGGAGGTTGACTTATAGATTTTATTTAAAATACACATGTACTTTGACTTGTCTATTAATTTCATCTCCTTACTGTTGATCTTATTATACTGTATTATATTCGAGATTCAAATATGTTTGACTAAATTAACGTAATCTATTTCGTAATATGCCGTCTACATTTTTTTGTATTTGCAGCTTGTAATACGTTGACAGAATAACTCAATAAACACAAGTAGTCAGTAACACATTATCATTAACGTAATTACTCCACTAACATAAAATGAAGTTGGTAATAATAGTACCTCAGCTAGAGCAATGAAGCAAAACAGCGCTGTTTTGAAATGTATCAAAAACATGACAGTATTATGCCAGCCTCACAAGCGATTTCAGACAGCTATTTAAAGTTGCTAGAAAACAGAGACCTCGATAATGCAGATATTTTAAATAATAGAGAAAATTATTTAGGGTATACCCACAGGCTAGACCCATTGAACAAAAGAGATATAAGCTAATACAGTTAATACCTCCCATTGTTCAATAATAGATACATTTAGTTGTCACACTCTCTGAGACCTAATGAGGGGAAACTACAGTTTATGTATTGTTAATTGATTTAACTACGTGCCACATGTCATTACCTAGATTAATAATAGTAATGATAATAACCCTGTCCAACCTACACAGCACTGTCTAGCTAAGCAAGCTCGTGGTATGGGTCTAATGACTACAACTGATATAAATATTTTTTTTATAAACACTTACATAGAAAACAGACCTAAACAAACGATAATTATCATTAACAGATGTGTTTATGTGTTATATGTTAATGAGTATGATTGTTTATATTGGTCTCGGTGATACTCATTGACATAAACCGTGCGAGCTATCAAACCCGCAAACATTGAATTATACATATATTTTTGTTAACTTCATACTCCATATTGATTGATACTCTTATAGCCGCTCCGGCTACGGCAACTGCTTTAAGTATTCCTTACATGTGCCCTAATTTGACTAACATTTCCTAACTTATTTATAAAAGTTCGCGCACATTTTGGCACGTCAGGTCATACTATTTTTATAAGTGTAATTTATAGCCGCTAGTGGACAGGCTTTTATTTCATCACATCAAGCTGACAACAACGATGAGACTCATAATCTTATATTCCAAATTTTACTAAAGGTCGTCAATCAGAACGACTATCTGCCAAACTCTTCTACTTCTACTTTGTCAATATTGCCATGTTTTGCACCGAAGAATTTATACTTTATTCTCTTTTTACCGACTCTTATGACCTTCTAAGGATGAAAAGGAGCGATGCAATTTGGATTTTTGCTGCGTCATCACACGGAAAACGAATTCATTACACGATAAATTATAAACGTAATATAGCATTTATCAAGACTAATAAAGTGATCACGTCCATTTATACTTTACGCATACACCCAAGTGCTAATGGACAAACAATTTATTCAAATCGAGAGTTAGACGGCAAAAGCCGATTCATAAAAATCATAAACTTAGATTTTATAAATCGATAAGACATAGATTGTATAAGGGAACATCATATGACATTGAGTGACCAGGGGTGGGATGGCACTTAAATTTCGTGACGTCATAACCTAACATAAAACACGAAATCTATAGTATTAACGGAAAACTTCAATAATATTTATCAAAATTACAAAATATGTGACATAACACTGCGAAGGGTGTGGTCACCAATATGATCAGCTGTGATAAGAACCGGGGCAGGCGTAAAAAACCTAATGAAAAAAGTATATGAAATAATTTGATAGTACTTGTATTATAACTAGTACATAGTTGTATAGTGTATATAATACATAAATAAGTGCATACTCGCACCTTATCTAATGAGTGGGACTAATAGCAAGTTCTTTGAAACAAAGTCAAAAAGCAATCGAGCGCTGATGTAATGTGATCTATACATTTACAAAATTGAAAATATTAGGTATTGCTTGAACATTCATTAATTTCTTTGGTCTTATTTAATATCTTACTAAAACATGGTTAGGAGGTGGAATCGATTTAAATAAATTATTTTGTTATACTCAGATAATATCCTCGATTACTACATGAGGTAGGGAATTTTTGCATCCTAAATTACGTAGATACTGCTACAAATCCATTCAATAATATTAATGAAATTTTTATACAAAAAGTTCATAAACGGATTACATAGCCATATGTTTTATAAATAACATGTAATATGTTCATAATAATATAGTTACATATTAATGTTTTTTCTAAAAAAAGACCGACGCGGAAACGTAGAAACCGTGACTTTATTCCTTAACACCATGGGCAAAGACTTTCTAAATTTAAATCTTACAGATACTGGATCCAATGAGAGGTGTGGTAGTGGACAAGTTTGGATTGATGCATTTGATCGCAACAAATGTATGTGAATGGTTCAACGTGGTCATTCAAGAAACAAGAGATGACATAGTCGCAGTGGCGTATGATAGACCAACACTTTTCCGATATGCTAACATTAGTGGAGCATATAAGACTGTAATCATAACAGATGTACTAGACAATATAACTTTTATTGAAAAGCCTGGAGGGCTAGGTTTAAAAAATGGCAATGTTCTAAATATGTCCATGGACAAACTGAATTGGAGCTGCAATGTCTCAGACATGATTACGCCTTTAATAAGAAGCGTAAACCCGTATTTAAGGCCTTGTGGTGTGGAGTACAGTCTTTTATGTTCTATTATTATTGTTGTCATATGGAATGATATATGCACCGTACCTGGATCAGTAAGTTATATTTTAATGGCAGTGTGTTATAAGTGTTCTATGGCTTTTACCATATTACAATAGGAATATAATTAATAAAAATATTCAGTGCAATACTAATTGTTATATCGTCTTAGAATAACTGTTTTTTTTATTTCAGAAATTTCTCAAAGTAGCTCCTAATACAATATCAAACAGAGAAATACGACAATGCTGCGAACGTATAAAATCAAACAACCATTTCTCAGTAGATTGCGGTAGTGCACACAGGGGACTTTTTGCAGGCATTGTAGTACTAGCTGGCACTATAGTCAGTCTGATGTTGTTCAATGGTCTCTTTCAAAAAGAAAAACATGTGGAACTAGCACTACTACAGGTACTTAAATCGCAATTAAGACATTGATAACACTATATATAGTCTCTTAGCCAGAGCCAAATCCAATCAAACATTTTCTCTCGACCAAAAACTTATCTATAATATCATTAACATAGTTTAATATTTAATGTGATGTGCATTAAAGGGCCTAGTGAATGTCAGTTACATATAGGGTATAGAGACTACCATGTCTCTATACTCTGTATGTAATTAGTCTTCCGGAATGTCAACGCATGAGAAGTAGCAGTAGCATCAAATCAAGGCGTTTATTTATTTACAGATTATTAAAATAATCAATTTACATCAAGTAATACAAAAGGTGGTCTTATTCCTAAGTAATCTCTTCCAGACAACGTTTGGATACAAAAAGTAAATATAAGAAAGGTGACAAAGGGTTGTTGGGCGTTGTAACATTTGTTATATAACGTTGTTTGTGTACATATGCATGCATGAATAACGGTTCTTCCATAGCATAAAAAAATACGAGAGAAACAAATATGAGTAATGTATGTTTACTGATTAAATTCTATACTTACAGATAAACGTTTGGGAGACAATACTATTTATTCTAATGACCGTTGGATCTGGTGCCTGTCTTCAACGCATACGGTCACTCCCTCTAAAACGAACCATGACAGCCTTGCCACTAGAACATGCATTATTACTGGTCACTCAGTTTGGTGTATACTTATACTATTTATTTCAAATTATTGGTGCTGGTTTCTTGGTTCATAAATACCCTGAAGAGAGGCGTGCTACTCGGTAACTATATCTAAGTGGCCTTTTTCTATTTACTACTGAAGAATCAAACCTTGTGTCTAGATATGTAACTACAGTCATTAATGTTATTATAATATTGATTAGTATATATAATATAGAAGGACATAAAAATAAGGTATAAATATAAATATGTAAATATCAATGTTTGCCTTTGGTCAGCATTTTATACGATTCATTGAAAACTAAGGTTCTGTAACCGTACTTGAAAATTAGTAAAGTATAGTATTAGTACAAACTTGTTCTAATGGCGTTTATTGTTCTTTGTTTATGGTTCTAATGTTGAAAAACCATACTACCTATTACTAATTTAAAAGTATGCCCGTCTGCTTGTATGTTTGTTGTAATTTCACGGCTGAACGAATCTTATCGTTTGACGTGAAGATACGATTACGATACGATACGATTGTATTACGAAAACGCACATAGACCATTATTTATATAAACTAGCTGACGTAATTAAAGGTAACAGCTAATTTGAATATCTAATACCTAAGGATTATTTCATTAGAACGTAATATATTGAAAAGTATTATAAAATTTAATTAATATAGTCAATACATTACTTTCTTAATTATAAATGTAATTATTATAATAGAAATTATACGATTTTCGAATTTAATCATTTAAATTAATATATAATTCTAAGTGTATATACCTAGTAGGTAGATCATAGAGTACTTTATTACCTGTAGGTATTTAAAAAAAAGGAAAATCAGTTGAGTTTCCTGTCAATTCTTAAATGAATATGATACTGGACTAAAAAAATCGAAGAAAATCGACGTTCATAAAGGGCTACAATGTCCTACATAAATGATTTTTGATTTTATTTTATTTATGCCGCTAATTGTTATCTATATATTATAAATTAATTAATTAAATATATATAATACTCAAACGAGCTGTTGTACTGCAGCTGCTATTAGCAGTTAGTAAATAGATTTTATTTTTTTACTTTCAGTATTTTAGTGCCTCTATGTGCAGTGATACAATGCTCCTGTCAGACACTTCTGATCTTAGACGCGTGGTCCCGTAGATGCGAAGAAACAACAGGCCGTCGCCCAGGACGCCAGCTAGTAACCTTCCTTCTCGTCGGGAATTTTGCGCTATGGCTTTTAAACCGAGTTAAGAACGCAAGAGCGGAATTTCATCCACTACAGGTACATAGCCTAATAATAAAAGTAATGATTTTTAGTTTTAATTAACTTGTGACCCGTTCTACCTTTGCTGGAGTTATTTACAATATACCTACTTATATTTGAAATTGTAAAAAATAGACAGAAGTACTTTAGCATTTGCATTGCATGCATATTAGTATACCTACCTACTCCTACCTAATATGAGAAATGTGATTGATATGAATATAAATTGTATTATGGGTAGATAGACTATATAATAATCTATACAGATTTAGTAAAGAAATTTAAAACAATAAAATAAAGGTATGTTCTCAATGCGACTGTACTATTATCTTCACAAAAGCGAAAATATATATATACATATTATACATACTAATATTATACTAGAATATTACTAGAACGTCGTGGCCTACCTGACTTCGAACGCAATGGTCGTGAGTTCCAATCTAGGCTGCACCAAAAACTTTTTCATAATTCGATTATTAGGTATATCTATATTGCTACATCACAACAAACTAATTTAAAAACCTGGCAGTAATCTTGCCTTAGATCCCATGTACCACGTGAAAAGCGGGCATGTCAAGTTTTATATTCATACCATCAACAGTTGAAAACGCCTCTGGGATACTCCATTTGGGATACCAATCATGAAGGCATATTATTACCTATTTATTGTTTTTGATAGGGAACTATACTATTGCTAATCTATGCCAATTTAGTTCATTATTTTTACTTATAATAAGTCACTGCTGTAAAGTATAATGCATATTTATTTTCAGATGGAATTTTTCGGCGTGTGGGCATGGACGCTAATCACTCACGTCTCCGTACCACTTCTTGTTTGCTACAGATTTCAAGCTACTGTCTGTTTTTATGAAATTTGGAAAAATTCATATAAAAGAAAAAAATATACTAACGATATCAGTTTAGAGGAGCAAGACTTTGAGCCGAAGAATCATGTGGCATAACCATATAATAAAAATATCTGTAACTACATTTCTCGTTTATTTTATTTCTTATACCAACAATACTAACAAATATATAAAATATATATATGCTGTTATTAATCATAACATAATTATTATTCGAATTATTTGTATCCATGCGCATAATATAACGGTTTGAAATAACATTAAAAAAATATCTTATTATTTTACGCCTAAGGACTGTACTCTTACTACTACTTACTCTACACATTCTTAGAAACTGGCGTGAAGATTGATGTTTTTAACCCGTTTTGCTATACATGTACTAATAGTTCCTTAATTAAACCTAAATACCTAATTCGGTTTATAAGGGCAACTGGTTAGATAAAATGTTCGATTACTGATGTTTTCAGAACATTGAACACTAAATTATGCCCAATTATTTTGGATTACAATCAATCTGATTTTAGATAAATCAGCAATTGCCGAATCAGTGAGTGTACGCCAACCTTAACCTGGCGATTTGAAAGTAGTAATATCTAGCAACTCTTTCTGTCACATTGACAAATGTCAAAGCTGTCAAGCATAGATCAGTCAGAGACTAGAGAGGCCAGTCGCAGTCAATAAAAATTATAAACTTACTACTACCATCAAATTAATACACAAATTAAATTCATTTTTAATAAAATAGGGTATAAATTTTATATAATATGGCATCTGTAATGGACGTTGATGAAGATGAAGTTGAGATGGCCTCCTCAAGTAGCGGCAAAGGAGATAAAAAAAGATTTGAAGTTAAAAAGGTACTTTGTTATTTTACGCATTGTCATGTTATCCATTCAAATGCTTTATTGTTATTTTTGTTTATTTACTTGTTTCTTTTTTATTTTTACAGTGGAATGCCGTGGCTTTGTGGGCATGGGGTATGTATATTATTAGGGATAATCTCAAAATGTAAAGTTTAACCTTAAACATCATTGGAAAAGTATTGCTTTAATGGCCCCATTTTTAACAATGTACTTTTGTACGGTCAACATCCATGCGGTTCTTCTTAAAAACTATTGTTTTTTCCACCTGATTTGAGTCCATCCTCATCATTCCATTCTTCATTACACTTCCTAGAGGTATGAATACTAGGTTTTACAAGCCATGTATTTATAAAAGCTTTGGCAGTATAATTTAATAATAACTGTAATTTTAAGTATATTTCTAGCTTCGAAAATTAAGTACTCACATATAAAAGTATTTATATCATTACAAGTTTATACATTACACTTCTTATAATTTAATTTTAAATATCTATATGATTTAGTTATTGTTACAAAGCTGACACTGTTTTCACTATTAAAGCTTTAAGTGTCTAATGTTAAAAAGGATATGTTGAAGAATAAATTATTTTTTGCAGTAAATAGTCTTCTGTTTTAGATATTGTGGTGGACAACTGTGCCATTTGCCGCAATCACATAATGGATCTGTGTATAGAATGTCAAGCCAATCAAGCTTCAGCCACCAGTGAAGAATGTACAGTTGCATGGGGAGTCTGCAATGTAAGCTACACAATAATTATCAAATTATTAATACATGAAAAAAAATATGCCACAACTATCTACTACTATATTTCATAGAACATACACCCATTTAAAATATTTAGCTATTTAAATAATATTAAATACAAACTGACAGTGATTCTATTGTATTGACAAGTCTAGGTGTCGTATAATACAATAACAGTATTATACAACACTTAGACCTGTCAATACAATAGACAAGGAAACACCAGTAAAGTAAATTTTGAAAATATGTTATGTAGAATATTAATATGTTATGTAGTATATAATGTTATGTAGTATGTTAGTTTTATGTTATAAACTTCATATAAAACTAAAAGTAATATTCTAGAATAAAAACTTGCAATTAAAGGAATCAGTATTGTAAATACAGCACTACCCTTACTCCAGCTGGTAACATTATTTGAAAATTTGATATGACCTGTCAGTTTAGTCTTTGTGATAAAAAACAGACTATACTAACTTATAAGAAGATGCCCAATTGAAACATTTATAATCCTAATTAAAATAAATTGTTTAACGAATAGTTAAACATGCTGTATTGGACTCTCTTTAGTTTACTTTGGTCTCACATATTTCGATTTTTGTGTGTTGAACAATCTATTGTTATTATCTTATTACTAATTTCTATCTATACACTGAGTCTTCTAAATATTTTAAGCATATTATTTAGCTATATAATCATTTAAATAGAGGCTAAGTGTTATCTACTCACTGCACATTTTGCATAGTAGAAATAAAGAGTAATAAAAAATATTAAAATCAGTTCTACAAGTTATATTTGTATTGAATGGTGTTCATGTGAGACCAGATGAATGTGTACTTTGACATATCATTGAAAACCATGTGTCTAAATCTAACATTTGAGAATCAATAACGCTTTGTAATATCTGTAATTTAAATTTATTACAAATTGATAAACAATACAAGTTTTGGTTACAAACTCTGTAAAAATAAAAAAATATATTGATAGTCTCAATTTATTCAGGAATCCTTCTATGCCAATTATTGAAAATGAATGGTCTTTTTATTTCATATATAATAATTATTATTATTATTAACATATTTTTCAGCATGCATTCCATTTCCACTGCATCTCACGTTGGCTGAAAACAAGACAAGTTTGCCCTTTAGATAACAGAGAATGGGAGTTTCAAAAGTAAGACATTATTTCTTATGTTAGAGTACTCATAGTAGTGTTATAAATGAAAAAGTTTGAGAGGATGGATGTTGCTCTTTCACTAAAGTTAATGAACAAATACCAATTAACTTGGTACACAGTTATGTATTATTCTGGTTTATGAAATTTTATTAACAGATGGGAATATTTTTACTATTTTCACCCCATTACATTGGGTTAGAGCCGCAAGATACCTATAAAAATTTAAACATTAGTAAAATAGATATAAAAAGCTCATTAATCAATGATTCTTGCAATGCATTATTTTATGTATCAAATGTGTAAGCTGTAATCTTCAACCGGCCTTCCCGAGCGTGGTTCATCTTCGACATCAAAATTGCCGAATTGAAATTTAGCGAACCAATTCTGTCACAGGCGTACTGTTAACATACCTTCTCCAAACACATTGGTCAATTTCTTTCTGGCTTGAACAGCATTTTTGCCCTTTCTGTAGTAAAACTGTAAGATATGTCGAAAATGCTTCTTATCACTCATATTTAAAAGGGCAAAAACTACTGCGTAGAATTCATTGATATTTTTCACACAAGCCTTGTTATATGAGCTCTCAAACCATACTAAAATTATACGGCTTAAGTGTGAACAGAGTGCAAAAAAATACAATTAAATCCTCTGCCAGGAAATAACGAAAATACTTTCTGAACAACCTAATATAACTGTAAAATTTTAAGAAGTCTTCAATTATTCAATAAATAATTGAAATTTGTTTTTGCAGGTATGGACACTAGCGATCTCGGTCTCGTGGCTCACATGAGTTCAACCATCCGTCATGTTAATGTCATAATTGCATTAAGTGTTTAATAAAATAACTCGTATATTAAAATTTTCATTATTAATTTTAAAATTGCGACATCCAGTAAATTGTTTTATTAACCTGTAATGAGAAGAACATAAAAATAGTAAATGTTTTAATAAACATCATGAAATGTTTATTTTTGGGATAGTTTAATTTTTAATTAGTCTCTTGTGTATAAGTAACCAATATTGTATCGGCAAGTCAGGTTCCTTAGCAGACAAGGTATCGAAATTACAGGGTACGGGGGTTTGACCTTATTCTTCCAAAATAGCAATATGTGTGCTACTGTGGAGTCACATATATTATTATATATATATTGTTGCACCGATGGGGGTGGCATAATCTGCGGAATGAAAACATCAAGAACATATAAAATTAAAAAAATATATACTTATATATATATATATATATATATATAGCTGAAGAATTCTATTTCCGGAAATTATTAGCTTTACCATTAGCCCACTTGTCGAGGAACGCATCATGACTCGCTACGACCGGCGCGACCGTAGGATTAGGAACAATGAAAATTTTGCACAAGTTAGGAAAATGTAATGAAATCGAAATTGCGTGGATCAACTAGTATCAAAATATATAGTCGAAAATAATAGTACTTAAGCCGAAAAAAACTAGTCAGATGATCCTACTCGTTCTGTGTCGCCGTTAATGTAAACAACATAAGAGTTGTCATCGTCACATTTCGCATAATATGAATAGTATTGAAATCCACAATAAGAGCAGGAGGCATCAGTTACGTTTTCATAACAAACTACTAATTGTCATTCAAATCGTTATAGCCAATGTCAATAGTCAAGACCATGCAATTCGAGAAAAAAATAGTTCATTTTAAAAGTATTGGGATTTTATTTATGCAGAGGGCAAATAAGGAAACACCATTTTATTCGCAGTCGTCTTTTTTATTAATATGTTTTCTCTTTTTATATACAAATAATATATGTCAATATATCAAAGGAGTTTTATGTCTAACATCCCCCCTCAACTTCTAATCTAGTAAATTTGAAATTGTTACTATGATACATACGAACATACATCGAACATCACCGTATATAATATCGATAAATGGTGTAACAACACTAATCTTAATTTGAAATTTATACAATACAATAGAAGTCGAGTTTACATTATATTCATTTTAAAAGTTAAATAAGAATGTTGGTTGAAAGATAGAGCTTTAGTAAATACATCGGAAATATTTTTGTTACTTTCTACATAGGATAAATTAATTATTTTCTTAGCAATAATATCTTTTACGTAATGAGCTTTAATATCTATGTGTTTTGATCTTTTACTATTTTCGTAGCTTTCAATTAATCTCAGAGTACTTTGATTATCAATCAATAATTTACAATTTATATTTAGTGAGGTAAGATCTGACAAGACGCCCTTCAAATTAACTATCTCACAAACAGCAAGAGCACCGTCTAAGTATTCAGCCTCAGCAGTCGATAAGGCTACAGAAGCTTGTTTCTTAGAATACCAGGAAATAAGTTTTCCAGCATAAAATACAGCACAGCCACTAGTACTTTTCCTATCAATTTTGTCAGATGCCCAGTCTGCGTCTGAAAATGTTGTTAAATCTTGACTAATCCTCCTTCTGTATATTAGACTTTTCTCTTTCGTCCCCTTCAAGTACCGCATTACTCTTTTAGCTGCCTTCCAAACACCCTCTGTAGGTTTATCTAGAAAACGGCTTAAATATGAAATTGCAAAAGTGATATCTGGTCTACTGTTAGATGATATAAACAGTAAAGAACCTATTAATTCTTTATATGGAACCTTAATTATTTCTTTCGTATCTGCATTAAATCCTGCCTCCATAGGTGTAGTAACTTCTCTGCATTCTTTCATATTAAATTTTTCTAATATTCTCTCTATCTGTTTTGTTTGATTAATCTTAATACCATCCTCTATTTTCTCAATTTACATTCCCAAAAAACTTTTTATTTCGCCTAAATATTTTGTATTAAATTCTTGATATAACAACTTCTTTATACGTTCTACTTCTTCCTCCTTCCCCATTAATAAAATATCATCAACATAAACTAATAGTTTTACATCTTCATTAAAATACAAACAAAAATCGTAGCCTGATCTTTCAGACCTATTTTCAGCATAATAATATTAAATTGTTTGTTCCAACATTTAGGACTTTCCTTTAAACCATATAAACTACGTCTTAGTTTTAATATCTTGTTTCCTTTAATTTCAATTCCTTGTGGTACTTTAATATACACATCTGCTTCTAAAAATCCGTTAAGAAACGCTGTAGGTACATCCAGTTGGTAAACTGGTGCTTGTGTTTCTACAGATCGAGCTAAGAATGCTCTTACAATTGACATTCTCGCAATTGGTGCATAATTTATCTCAAAATATTTATCAGCTATTTGGTAACCTTTCACCACTACTACACCACCACTTTGATGCCATTATCTTTGATAGTAAAAATCCATCTTGTATCAATAGATTTTAAACCTTCTTTGTTTTCTACAACTGACCAAGTTTCTAGTTTCTCTAATGACTCTACTTCTTTATTTATAGCTTTTTTCCACTCTAAATCTTTAACGGCTTCTTTGTATGTTTGAGGTACATCATTTAGACAATTAGTTATTAAACAATATGCCGTATATATTTCATAATCATGTAAATTTCTAGGTACATTTATTTCGCGCCCAGGACGTGTTCTTACCTTTTCATCTTCTTCTATCTCATTATCTTTTTCTTCATCTATTCTTTCTTGTTCTAACTGTATAGGCTTATTACTCATATTTTTATTATCCTTTTCATCATCAATTATTATAATCTTCTCATTTTCATTTTTGTTATCCTCAAGTTTTTCTTTAGGGCAGAATATAGTATTCTGTTCATCAAAAATATCATCTGTTGAAGTAATGATTTTGTTATTTTCAGGGCAGGTGAAATACAAATTAAATACGACAATTATTGTTATGTGACTGCAAACGCAGACAATCTGACGGTCATAAAATCATATGATTTCCGTGATAAGTATTTTTTCTTTAATGGATGATAGTGGAATACTGCCTGCGCTAAAGGTATACACTAGCGGGGCATCAGTGGTGAATAATATGAGCATGACTTCAGCTCGTTGAAGTTAAACTGACAACCCCTTTCTCCCGTGGTACCCTTTTCTCATAACAAATAATAAAATCTTGCAAAATCTTTCCACACAGAAAGGCAATACGTTTTACAAAAACATGTAAAAAAAATTTTTTTATCTTACTTGTCGACTAGTGTGCTGCGACGCAAACCCTATCTCTGAAATTAAGATAGCGACTAGTTAGGACGCAGAAGAAATGTAAGAACGACAACGTCACGGAAACGCAAGTGTTTGTGTGCACAACATGCAAAGCTACAATGATCTATCCACTTTAAACCGCGATCCACTGCACCGCCCATGGGTAAGAAGATTGTTTATAATGTGGACTAATAACCACATTGCTAGCAATGTACTATGACTGGTTTACCTCCACGTAGATCCCCCTAGAAACTATCGTTATAAATTCGTGATGAATTTACCACGATGAGCTAACTGACCTGACCTCATATTCACCTTATCATCCTCCACTGGTGTCGCCAGCGTAAACAGTTAGTGCAGACGGGTGTACCATTCCATTATTATCCTTAAGAAATATAAAAGAAAATGAACATGAAATCAGTCCCGTCCCGCCCATCGTATCGAAATCACAGGTATCAGCCATAATGGTGTCTAGGGGCGTGAGGTGAGTCTATTATTGGTAGAATTGCTAGCAAAAACTTCACCATTTAAATTTCTAGTTAAGAGGTAAACTTAAATATACATAAATAATAAACATGACCGAAACTTGAGGCATTTTATTGTGATTATACTTAATTGAAAATATTTCATAATAGCTTATATTTGTCAACAATATGCAACTTGTTTCATCTAATTTATTTTTACATACTATTCCATAAAGGAATATCACAAAAGCTAGTTCATTTACTAGCTATTTAATTTACAGATACATTACAACCTATGTCATACATACATACCTCACAAGTTTACGCATTCTGTTCATTGAATGATGCGCGTAGTTGCTAATGTGACCAACCAACGTTTATCAAGTAGTACTTTGAGATCAACTAAAATCAGCGCTATATATTTATAGATATTTTATCCCAATAATCAGAGTAAAAGAAATCATAAATTCTCCCCATAAGTAAATATAAGCAGAATAGCGAAAGCAACGGATGATTAATACGACATTAAAAATGTAATACTATCCGATGCATCTTTGTCAATATATTTATTTTGAGTTAACAAACGCTGATGACTACCCTGGGCGTGCAGGGGTCATAGGCTACGATTATACTACACCGCTTACCAATAGGTTAGCCAAACGCTTATTTTCCCACCTTTCCCTTCCTTCAACTCGTTACGTGCTTTCATTTAAATTAATTGCGTGCAGAACAAAGCCTTTACAAGCTTTGTTGCAGAGTTGAAATTGTTATATGGGATATAGTTGTAATGTACTTCGGAAGCAGTCAGTATAAGCTTCTATAACACACCATTTACGTACATAATGGATATTTGCTCACTTATGTGTAAAGTTTCATTGAAAACTGCATTTTTATACAATATATTTGGTAGATACCACTAACAATTACGATTAAACTAACATTACTTTCATACTTCATCTGCTTGTCAGCAAATATTATATTATTATGTACATCAAAAGTTTACATAATTATACCAAATAAATTTACAATTTAAACTTCGACTGCCACCTCAGAAAAGATACACACGCAAATGTAAAAAACTACCTATCTAGTATATTAACTATCTGCCGAACACTGGTGACAAAAACGTCAAAATTATAAAACACATCAAATACTACGCCAAAACTGGATATTTTCTTTTCTCGGCATAATATTATGTTTATATAAGATAATAAATCAGTCACTCCTTGTAAAATTTACTCAAACACACTTCATGCAACCATATTCAGTTGGACTGAACTTATTCCAAATATCAGGTAAATTATCTGGAAGCAGAAAAGCGGAAACTATTATTTATTCTTAAAATATTAAAATTAATATTGATAAGTACCTACCATATCACTTTAACTATTGTATATATGGTATCATTTCAACAGTTCTCGAGATACAATACTACAAACATTAAAGCCTAATGTCTAAACAATCAGTATAGCTTGTACAACATGTCAACGGTAAAATCGGTAATAATACACAAAGGATTTCTACAAAACATCTAGTTTTGGCGTTTGTATGCAACTATTTGGTGTATTTGATTTGAATTTAATTTCATTCATCACATTAAAATAAACTTCGGCAGCACAAAATTGTACTAGAATTATATATCGGTCAGACTTATATCCTACTTGCAATAAGCAATGACTTTATCGTGATTATAAATAAGAAAATTTAGTCTTATAATCCATGTTATGTCCAAAGGCCAACACTATTTTCACAGTAATTAATTGTTACATCAAGTCACTGTAATGTATTGCAACACATTATAATAATATGCAGTATAATAAACTCGAAATTATTGTTTCAGGCATAACAAACCAATTCGAATTTCAGATTATATATAATAATCTGAAATTTTAATTGGTTATTATTATTCGAATTGTAATATAATAAATCTTTCAGTTACAACTGCATATATTTGGGTCCTGTTACATATTTTGACTTTGATCATAACATATAGTGGCTATTTGTCAAAATAGGTTGCATAAAAACGGGAAATAATAAATTAGTGCTAATGAAATAACAAACTTTAGTTTTCGTTTTAATAAATATTTCCTTGGAATCATCAAATAAAAATATGATGCCTATCACACAATACTCAAATCAGAATTTCACATAATGAAATAAATACTAGATAAAATATCCTAGTCAAATGAAAATTAAACTAATAATTGAATTATAACGGTGGAAATATAACCATAAGGTAGTTGCGGCTGTCAGTCCGCCGAAATAGCAGCAGGTAAATCGATAGTACGACTTTCATTGCCGAAAATTAATCTTAAGCGTTTCATAGGGGGCAAGGGACGGATCGGACTATGTTTTCGATGACGCTCTTTTGACCGACGGCGTTTTTTTATACGTCTTACTGTCTCAGGATCAACACCTTCCAACCGCAATACCTCATATTCGGGCACCTCTGTTGTGGCACCACAATCCATTACTTCCTCTACTACAGGACTTCTCTTAACTCGCAATGTCAACTTTAAACCTCTGCGTGGTGGTGTACATGGACACTCACTGCTCTTATTAGAATTATCTGCTAACCAAGGTGGTCCAGTGTCCAATTCCTTTTTAGGTTCCTCAGTCCGATTATTTAAATCTATTTTATTATTTTTGTTCAATTTGCATTCTTTTGGTTCACTTGGATTAACATTTTCTCTAAAGTCATAAATTTCACTTTTAATGTATGTATTACCACTTCCACAATCATCATTGTCTATTTTTTGTTCTTTAGTATCTGAGCTGTTTGAGAGGCTATCGATTTTTACTTTGTTATGTGAACTCAAATCATTTTGCAGAGATTCTTTTACAGTACATTCACTCTCAGTGTGCCCTAATTCTGTTTTACTTATATTTAAAACATCTTCCAAAATAAAACTATCTTCTTTCTGGGCATTATGTATGGGTTCAGTTTTAACAATAACATTATTAGGTTCTAAAGAATCAGGTAAATCAGGCTCTCCTTTTGGTGTATCAAGGTTCCTTTCTTCCTTAGTTTCAGGTGCACATTTTGAAATGTGTTTAATTTTAGCACAAGTAGTCTGTGCCTGTGCAAAATTATCAAGACGTTTATGGCTCCTCAACACTATTCCACTATGAGAATCTCTACTACTACGAGAACTGGCAGTGCTACAACACCTTGAAGGTGGTGCTCGACGTTTAGTATTACCTACAGGTGGCATAATGCCATTTGAAGTACGACCACTATCTGTCCTACGACGTAACCTATCACCTCTGCTTGAAACAGAGGAGTCCCTACTACCTTGTGTATCTTTATCACCTGTACCATCTACAACATCTGCAATACAACCTTGGGCTATTAAAAGTTCAGCATCATATTTTGTCAATCCTTTCTGTTTCATTTCTTTCATACTTAGTGGAGATATTATATTTGAATTTTGCCTACCTGCCAATCGTGACTTTTCAGAATTTTTCCCATTCATCTTTTGACTCTGTTTAGCCTTTGTTCTATTAATTCTATTATCTGTTTCTCTAAATCGATATCTTGTAGCCTGTTCATCATTGTGTGGACTTTTGACAGAAAATGCACCTTTCCCACGCCTTTCACAAGTTTCACATTCACAATAACAATTACCATTTCCAAAGAAATCTTCTCCATAAAAACAAGTTATCTCCTCACCAACCTCAATATCCCTTAAGACACGAACAAATGCCTTACCACGATCAGTAGCCTCAAAAGTACAATTCGGTCTACAGTCATGATTTATATATGCTGCAGGTCCCAACCACAACTGTGCACAATTTTTCCGACAGCTGTACATGACAGAAAAATCATTCTTTCCTGGATGAAGGAGCTGTTTTTCTTCCTCCTCTGTCATTTCAGCTATACAACCCACAAGAAAATCTATTCTCTCATGCTTAAAAAATTTCTTAGTTGTTGAAATTTTGGCTCCAACTCTGCCTTCTAAAGAATATCTATAGCAAGGTTCTATAACAAAGCCTGCCTTTTTATCAAAAACCCTTAAGTAGCGGTATATCTGAAATAAAAACACAAAATTTATCACTAAGTAGAGATTTGCTAACTAAAATGAAAAATAATTAGACTGTAGGTAATTTACTTACATGTTCTCTAAGTTTGCTTTGTTGATGTTTATTTTTACTAAAATGTCTTGGCATCCATTCACCACTTGCTAGTTTAGAATAAGCTTTATTGTAATCTTGAGTTTGGACAAATTCCTTAATTATTTGCTTAAGATCATCTTTATTAGTTTTTATGGGTCTGTAGCGAATGTTCATTTTGTGTGTAGTGATGGTCAAGTAAGGATCCACGATAAGTGCCGTCGCCAAGTCGTCGTATTCCGAGAGCTCGCGAGGGGTCATTCCCATCGGCTGCATTTTGTGGAGTACTTGCCTCCCTGGGTAAGCTGCTGATCCAACAACCATTCTGAAATTACCTGTACACAAAGAACGCAAGGTTTTTTTTTAACAGCAGTTATCAACAAAAAATTCACAGGTACACAGTAAACTATCTTAACAGAAATGAACAAACACCTACTAAACAAGGCATGTAATGATACAACATAAGCCTAATACTAATTCTCATAACATTTTTACGGTTTTTAATAAATAAAATGACAAACATGGCCGCCTAACATGAACTCAAAAAACGACACGTCAAAACTTGACATTATTTTTGGTAGATATAACGTGGGAAAGTATTATAAAATACAGTAAAGTATATAAACTTTTTAAAACACTTACATAAATCATTTATAACTAATAAGAATCATGTTTAATCCCAGTAACAACTTTGAATATCTACTAGCAGGCTAGCACTTTCGAGACGCTAACCTCTCAAATAAAATACATATCGGGTTTGTTAACTTTAAATTCGATTTATATTCTTCATTCTTAGCTAATGTAAATTAATATGTAATCAAAGAGACTTCAAAAATAAGTCCCAAAGAAAGCTGAAAAACAACCATGTTTTGGTTCGTGAGTTCAATTTTTTTGTTGGGTAGGCAGTGTTGCCAATTAATTTAATTTTAAAATAACTAGTCCAACAATTTCTGTAATATATTAAGTAACTTAATAATTCGCAGCACTATATCAAATTATCAGATAGTAACAGAAAATAAACAAAGAATTGATATTTTTATAATATTAATTAATAATAATAATATTAAAAATGAATAATAAAAAATACACTTTCTTATTTCGTGTATAAATTTGTTATTTAGAAATGCCTTACGTGTTTTAATTGAAATATTTTATTTCACTATAATCAATAATAATATAGGATTAGGTAACTGACTCAAAACATCATCAGACATCATAAAATTTTGTGATGTCCCTGATTTATATTTATCGGTAAGGGTTACCATTTTCAGTAAGAGAGACTGAGTATAATTTATTGTCACAACTATCGACGTTATAACGATAGGAGTTTATAACGGCGAGACTCCTTTATAATAGCCACGACGGAGTTATAAACGCACAACAAGCACTGCGACACGACGCGACGCTGTTTGATAGCCCGGCTAACTATACATTATTACAGCCAGTTTTATCTAAATAATATCTTATATTGTATCATGAATCATATCGTTTATTCTCAGTCGTACATAAAGTACCGGCTCCTTTTAATACTTCCTTTAATAAAAAGACTTGCTAGTGGTATTACTAAGTAAGTAAGTAAGGTAAGTACTGCTATAAAGATGTTGAGAGCTTAAAAAATATTTTATTTTTATGTATTATTTGTATTTTATGTAAATAGGAAATTGCATTTAGTAATAGTATTTTAATACAAAATTTACAAAATGTTTTGTTATTTATAATTAAAAATACATAAAATATTCGTATTATTATTTTAAATACATTTGGTAAATTATTTTGCACATCTGTGTAAATTACAACTTTAGACAACTTATAAATGGCTAAGGCTAAAAATTGTAATTATATATTATATTAAAAATAAGACATTATACGAGTTGCTTTAGTTAACAGTTACTGTTTGTAGCATTGGCATATTTAAATAGTGCTGTTCTGTCTTTTGATTGATGTATTTTAAATATACGATAAAAATATATTCCTTAACAAAATAACGTGATCAACTTACTTACAATAGTTTTCTTTAACGATTGAAGTTTTTTGTAAAACTAAATTTATTACAATTTCGTAGACGTTGATAGATTGAATGTTAAGTATAATCTGCGAGTTTATTTATATTCAAATTGTTTCGTTCTGTATAGAAGCTAGAAGAAAGTTTTAGGTATTCAGCAAAAAATATGACCCTTAATGGCAACACTAAATGCTGGAGCCAATAAATAGGCTGAAAGGAGATTTCCAGTGCCGTAAAATACTTAATAAAAAAAATTCAAGCCAATAAAAAAAGATACAAGGTATGCGACAATGAAAAAATATTGGCATTCGATATGTAAAAAAAATTGATATATCAAAAAACCGGCGAGATACACTGGAATATTGGAATACCATTAATGTATTAGCTTGTACATCATCCGTAGAAGTATCTAGTAAGGTACAATAACTTTGCATTACATTATATTATCAAGTAATATAAAATAATGTAGAAATTATTTTTAAGGTTACTTTAACTTTATTTATCTTCTGTTTCACTTTTATGTTATTATGTTTATGAATTTTCGAGAGTGTAATATCGTGAAGTATGATGTTATCGATGACTTACTAGTCAATTCATCGATATTTTGACGTATTTGGATAAACCGCATCCTTAGTGATAAGTTAATTACTTTATCAGTCAGTTCATTATTTTGTCAACTTTGTTTATTGCTCTTTTGGTATTGCTGGTTATGAAGTATTTGTGAATTTGGATGCAAAATATAAAAAAATTACTCTTCACATAGTAGGTAAGTAATATTATTTTGCCGTATTTTTTATACATAGTATTAAAATAAAATCATTTCAAATAGTTATGTGTTATTATTATAGGTTATAATAATATAATTACTTTTTTCCATTGACATTCTATAGATATACCAGGCATTCTATATCTTTATACTAAATAAATATGATGAATGACAGAGGAACAGAGGAATATATATTTATGTTTGAATTTAAATTAATACAGTAAGACTTTTATATTAATAATATATATATGCGAAACTTTTCAGCTTACTGAAATGGTAAAATCCTTCGTATTATATTTTGAAATTTATAAATCTAGAATAATTACTTTATAAAAAAGTGCATTTTCGAATTTCTAAGAAAAAACAACAAGTTTGTAATTAGCACATTTTTGGACAATTCTCTAAACCCTTCAACATATAGGTAATTTTGTTGTAAGAGTATTATAAGACATTGTGCATGCCTACACAAGTGATTTTAAATAACCTAAATATTTGTTGGAATAGTTTGAAATAATAGAAATTAACTTTTACAATACAGAACTAATGCATACAATTATATTAAGTTTTATTATATATCAAAATTAATTATCAATGTTTGTATCATATGATAGTGTATTTTGGACATAATAATTTTCCAAAGTCTATGTCATACATACATAATAAAAAATATTGTATTTGGTCTAAATAGGTAGGAGTTCTAAGCAAGCAACTTGATATTAAAGTGCTTAAGATTTTACATCACAAGGTGTCTACTATGCCAGACAATCTTAGCTTTTTTGATAATTAATTGTAAAATAACAATCACTAGATTGTACAGAAAGCTTTCTATGATACAGATAATAATTTTACAAACTATTAATTTTATCATGGTATTATAGTAATATTGTGCACAAATTGTTGTTTCGAAATATATTTTCATAATATATAACATATGATTTTATATTTTTATTATTAAAAAAAATTACAAACTTTATCACATGTAATTGAAGTATATTTTTATATTATACTTTTCTTCTTTATTATAGGATAGATACACAGTTTTAAAATATGGCACACTCTAATTCATCTGGAAACTTCAAGAATGGTATCATTGACTTTACTGCGGGTTCATTAGGTAAATCAAATATTGATTTAGAATTTATATAATATGTAATTACATAAAAATTACAAGATTACAGATAACTACTATGTTTAAGTAAATCACTCTAAAGAGTGATTTAAAAATCACACCCATTTTTTCTCTATCATTCTATTAAATAGTACAATGAGCAGGTTAGTTCCTGGTGACATATGAAAATTTAACATGTTGTTTGTGTCAAATAAGCTGACGGCATACCTGATGTCAAGTGGTAACAGGCGCCACTGACCAGGAATGACAGCAGACATCACATTATTATGATACCGCTCATTATACCACTCATCCATTGTCTATCTGGAGGACTAGGATGTTATATATTTTGCCTGCTTTCACTGCCTTATCTCACTCTTTAAAAACTTCTGTGATACACAGTTTATGAATATAGCTGTTTGGTGGCTTGATTACAAAGTCTACCTCCATAATATTCATATTAAACGACTTTTTTATAATCTTGTATTCCTACCGCAGGTGGTGTTGCAGTTGTATATGTCGGTCAACCTTTAGATACCGTAAAAGTTAAAATGCAAACATTCCCACACCTTTATACAGGAATGTATAACTGTTTAAAACAAACGCTAAGAAGTGATGGCATAATTCGTGGATTATACGCGGGAACAACGCCTGCAATCTTAGCTAATGTAGCTGAAAACTCAGTTTTATTTGCTGCATATGGTTATTGTCAGAAGTTTGTTTGTACTTTAACTGGAACTCATGTAAGTACCAATATATACATATTACGAAGGACAGATTCCTCATATTATTCTTAACATGTTTTATTATTAGCAGTGGCCTTATTCCTACATTGAAGATTTTTTAAATATATATATTGTTACTAGAATGTTCCGTAGAATCATATACGACCATATGTTTGTTACATATGGTCGTATACAATTCTACGGAATAAATATTAATTTGATTCAAATATACTATGGAAAATGTGTTTTTAATATATTCTGTTGGCCGTAGCTGGCCTTTACACATTTGAAAAAGCAGTCGAGTTGCAAATCCTCGAAAAGACTTATGAAGTGACTAAAACCAAGACCTGCCTGACAGATACCACTTTATAGACCATATTTCTGATGAACAAAAAATGTATAATTGAGTAATATCCTGTATGATCGTATACTCGCATGTTTGACTAAATGGCTATCAAAAGACAATACTAACTATGACTATATTTCAACGAATTGGATGTTAATTTAGTTAATTTATAAATCAACATCCAATTCGATTATATAAATACATAATAATAAATAATATAGTAAGACAACTATTTTAAAACTACAAGATTGTTCTGACGTTAAAATTGGGTCTGGCGCAATTTTGTCCCCTGATAACCATGGGTAAGATCGTGAAGTATGGGCGAGAAGGATGTAATGTACAAAATTAATTCATATATCAAAATAAGTAGTTATTTTATATACTTTTGGCTAAATAGTTTGTAAGTTATGACTATAATAACAAATATGTCCAGATGCGTGGACACAGTTAGGTATAGATTCTCCCGATGCGGCATTGTTAATGCCACGTCACAGCGTTGGAATCACGTGAATTTTCGTAACAGAGGTGTTTGTTCTTATAGTCATAACTTCCAAGCTATTTATCCATAGAAAGAAGATTTCTATTATAATCGTTTATATAACATTACCCATGTTCTCCGAACCGCAAACAAAGTCATCCGATATAAGTCGAAGCATGTTTTAGAATGTAGAGCAGCTCTCAGCATTGGGTAATGCGTCGGCAGGTTTCCTCGCTGCTTTCTTCTCGTCGTTCACACTGTGCCCGACGGAACTGATCAAATGCCAGTTGCAGGCCATGAGGGAGGTCAACCTGCAAGGTTCTCAAACAGCTGTAAAGTTTGTTCTATTTGTTTTCCAATTATACTTCAATGATTACCTACTTATACTCCTAGAAATAGGTAGCATCACTTATGCTCCCTATTTTGTATTGTTGCACCGATGGGGGTGGCATATTCTCCGGAATAAACCCTCAATATATAATAGAATAAAAAAAAAACTTATGCTACCTATTTCTAGGAGTTCATTGTCATTAACCAGAATCTATAGAAACTATAGTTTTTAGTAAAAGCGACCTTCGGCAGAAATAGTTATATTTTAAAAAGTAACAAAAAAAAACTAAGCAAGTTAAAATTTTATTAAATCAAATCATATCATTTATTTGCAGAATATAGTGCTTATTAGTTGTTAATAAGTAAATAGTCATTGTACAACGTTGTCTTGTAGTCCGTGGGTAATTCTGTCTCATCTATTTCTGCCACCGTTCATCAGCTTGCTTTGTAAACTTTTGGTTGAAGGGTATATGGCAGTGAAATTACAGGATGCGGAGGTATAACGCCTCCATGACCGACGACCAGACGTGATGATCATGCTGTTGTTCATGTATATGTCGGTAGCCATATAGGTACAATCAAGTGATTTATGACCCTGTTTGTCCCTGTAACATAAAAAAAGTAACCATTCTAGTTATATACTTGAAACAAATTATATTATTGCATAAATATAATTTGTTTCAAAGTTACGTTAATACAACATAACAACATTTCTACCCTGCTTATCACTTGTTTATATATTATTATTGTCATTACTAATCCTATTACGATACTTACATCATTATTGATAACTAGTTAACTATTACCAGGTAGTTAGTAATAACAGTTAACTAGTGGCGAACCCCGGCTTGGATCATAACTTTGAGTTATCTGTAGTAACAATATATATGTAGTAATACGTATGTCACTATGGTAATCACAACTCTATTTCTCATTATTCTATTACTATAGATTATCTTGTAATTTTACAGATTAAAGTGACACCCCTACAGTTGACTCAGCAAATTTTTAGACAATATGGAATACAAGGACTGTTTAGAGGTCTTGTACCTACTATAATGAGGGAAATGCCCGGATATTTCTTCTTTTTTGGAGGATATGAAGGTACGTGTGGTACTTAAACTGGTGTTGCAAATTTTAATAAAGATTTTATAATCTTTATTCGGTATAATAATAAAGGGCCGAAATCAAGTGATTTCATTTTCTTAGAAAGTATAAGAACTAATATAATATAAGAAAAAAACATAAATTAATAAAAAAAACTTAATCGCAGACTGTGCGATCACGTAATCAATGTAAGTTCTGAAATACTTTCAGAATTTCTGTTTTGTAAGGGTCGACTAGATTTTTGACTTGCTATTTACGTGTAAGTCTAAATACACTTACAGTGTAAAAATTGTGTAATATTATTTTACCCTAATGCAAATAAAAATAATATTTATTTAAATGAAGTTAACAGACTTTATTTAACTAAAGATTATTTTTATATGCATTGCATGCATTTTCAATTGCTAATTTTTGTAATTTTACCGCCATATTCGTATAATGTTATGAATTTGCATGAAACATCGCGGTGTTGAAATGGAAGATCAATTTTAGTCTATAATTTTATTTGAAATCTAATGTAATCATGTCCTTAATCATGTCCTTACCGTTATTAGATGGAGGTCAGATGATAGTCAGTACCTAGGCTCGAAGGGATCGCGATAGGCCTTGTCAGGGCCGTGCAAGTTCATGTCGGTCGCTAGACTCAAAGTCCCTTTAACGTAACTAGTACTACAATTTGATATCTATGTAAGTCATTACACGAAAATGATTGTAGTTTGAATATTAGATGCATGGTATTCGGATTGATAATAAATAATAGTTATTTTATTGGCAACTGATTTGAGTGAAGTAAACATTGAATATTGTATGGAACATGCAACAATACATCCGTGAAAATTGTGTTCAAGCTGATGGTTGTTTCTTAAATTAACGTGCATAAACATACTGACAAGAAATGAAAAACTAATTTCATTTTGAGATGTACACGACATCATGTGTTAGGTATATATCGTAAATAATTTAATGTATATTTTTTTATTAACTATTTAATTACTGTTACATTTTATACTAGCGACCCGACTCACAGCTTCCCACTAGTATTTCAATTAATTCATATAAAATCATCGAAACCTCCCGGAAATAACTTCATTGATGCATGAAAAATAGTTGAAAAGCCGTTATTTTTAAATGAGATTGTTGCGAATATAAAAGCAGCCCCGACGTTCAACTTTGTTTTATAATGTGTATAGGTACTTATAGATATCATAAATAAATTATTAATTAGTAGTGCAGGTCAAAATGTTATGTAATTAAAAGTGTCTATAACGAGTTTGTTACGTCAATTGCTTTGAAATAACTGGCTAAGAACAAAGTGATAACTAACTCTGTATAATATAGGTAGGTAAGCTATTACTTTTTCGTACTATTCTAATGCTTTTGGCTACAGCTGGCCTTTACAGCTTCACCGAATGATAGGCGGTGAGTGCAGATGACACTCCAAAATCGCGGATTTTTGTACTCCAATATACTTACTTATGAAGTGCCGGAAGACCAACTCCCGCCTGATGGATAATACTAATGTGAGGGACATTGAACCTCGGCTCAGGCCAAGGTAATTTCTATACCCGTTTGAATTGGACATGCGATCGATTGGGAGGGTAACGAAAGCTGTGATCTTATTAAGATTTTTTTATGTCCCCGTAATATTGTGAACTACGTGCGTTATCTACCACTCGAGATTGTAAACTGTGGTTAAAAACAATATTATAATTAATTAAAGGACATTCCAATTTTCGGTATTTGATAATCTGTAATCTTTCATCGGTCGATCAAATTTACTTATAAAAAACTAAAACACGTAAATTCTATATTCGACTATGCTTACTGTAACATATACAAGTAAAAAGCTAAGTACACGACACTAAGGAAACAGATCAAGACGAGACGAGCAAAGAAAACAAGGGTATAGTCGTAAAATATTGTAATGTCTTATGTCACATATGTTAAAACAAAATAGTAGTATTTTTATAAAACATAGACAATATATTGGTATATAAAACAAGATATAACTTTTGTTTGTAAAATAGGAATAAAACAAATACTAAATTTGAAGTTCAGACTTTCAGTTTAGTCTAAATTTAAACCCAAATCTTTTAAACCATTTCTGAGTATAAACAAAGCATAAACTCACAGACAAAACAAAGCAGAAAAATTAATTAAAAAAATTAAAACATGGTATTACGTTGATCAGAGATTTTTCCCAAATATAATAATTAGTTTTTCTCATGCACAACAGCGATAGTTATATTTTATTACATGTAGGTATAGTGGTTTTGGTGCATGGTAATTTTTACATTTAAATTTAATAAATGCTAATGAGTTTCATAAAGTTCACAATAACATAAATATAAGTTATCTAATTACTATAATTAACCTATACACAGGTACAAGAAGTTTACTTGCAAAACCAGGTCAGTCAAAAGACGACATAGGTTTTGTTAAGACTATGATTGCTGGAGCGGTCGGTGGATTGGTTCTGTGGACGGTTATATTTCCTTCTGATGTTATTAAATCTCGAATACAAATATCGAATCAAAATCAAAAGTTTCTAAACATTGGTTACGAAATAATTAAAAAAGAAGGTTTGTATAATTAATTATTCTTTACATGTCATTATAGATTATACTAATATAGAATCATTATCTGTATTATTAACCAAAAACAAAGAGGAGGTTCTAATTAGAGTGTACTTTTGTGTGTTTACTGTTTTGAATATAAATATCTTCCGTGTTGGCATATGTATAATATCTAATCGTCACTTTTAATATCTGTATTTGAGTTTGATTGTTCCAAAAACTCTCGCTCTCTTTCTCAATATATATATATATATATATATATAATATAATATATATATATATATATTTATATAATATATGGTATATAAGTGCAGAGATTACGAGATTTTTTACCTGATACAAATTTGAAAATCCTAAATAAATTGTTAAATGAGATTCTATTGTCGCCATATATTAATTTACCGAAATTGCCTTTTTAAATGATTTAAATCTTTTAAATCTAAGAAACACTTCCCGTATAATATTATTACATTAGAAAGTCAAAGTAACTATAGTAATAGTTCAATTTAAGTTTTATCGAAGATAACAACAGTTATCTTAGATAAAACTTAAAATGTTAGAATGGTAAGAATATGATGCACCCTGTCTTCAGTAATTGTCGTAATCTGTTAATTTGTCGCGAACATATAGCGTAATAAATAATTAGTATTGTCAATATCGAAAGCAGGTTGTTTTTGTATGTCCTATTCTTCCTAAATTTGGCTTTTTTATGATAATGGATAGGTGAGCCCGCCTGCGCTAACGTTTTCCGCCGGTTTGGCATCACTGGAGGGTGATGGTGGTGATGATGGAGGTCCATAATTATGAATTCACAAAGTATGAAAGGCTAGTTTTCAGGGGGAACTGCGTGAAGGTCAAGCTGACATGGTACATTGCTAGCGATAGGGTCCTTAATCCACATAACTAACAACCCTCTAATGCAATTTGCAGGGAAGACCCTGCAAATTGCATTAGAGGAGCTGGTTTTTATAATATTTCTGTTCTTTTCAGGAGTACTAGCATTGTATAATGGACTGAAGCCCACACTAGTTAGGACAATACCGGCGACTGCTACTCTATTTGTTGTATACGAATACTCAAAAAAGTTTATGCACAAAACGTTCGGCGACTGAATGAACAACTTTTGAAAGTATATAAGTAGTTAGTTATGCATTTATTGTTGCTGTTGACATTGATAGTATATTGTTAATTATACGTTTTTGAGTTTTTGTTATATGTAATCAATCTATTATTAATATACATATATCTACTACTATAAGAACCATATGAATGAGAGAAAATTATTTTATAATATCCAGACCAATTTCTAAACGTACAGTATGTGAGAGCAATCTGAGCACCAGATATATAAATTGTTCGTAATGAAATATTATGATTATTCACTGGGCACGAACAAAAGATGTCAGGATATATTTTTTATGCAAGTTATCGGAAAATAAATTAACGGACCATTACGTGAAAGTAGTTACAGCTATATGCAGCTGTTATATAGGTATGAACAGCAACGCGTATAGACGCAGACAATATCTACATATATAATAATATAACAAACCTCAAAGTAAATAATGCGTCATGTATAATATTATGACGCAGATGACGACTCCTATCGACAGCAAGACCCGACATTTCTAAGATCTAAGAACAAGTTATTGTTCTTAGCTTAAGCAGTATTTACTCATCATTATAAATGACGTATATTCTAAATGATAATACATTTGTGCTTCCGTGACTACGTCAATTCGCCCTGATTCGCATATTGACCCGTCTTTGTATAAACCCTACAGCGTTTCAATGTTATTGTTATCGTAGCAGAGAATAATTATCTTATTTGAAAATTTGTTGCGTTGAGTCTCTTACTGTTAGTTCTCTAGTTAATTTCATCTTATAAATAACGACCCTAAACAAATTGCACAGCGCCATATAGTCTGAACTAAGCAAAAGGTGTACTGTTGATAAATGGGAAACATCTGTTAGAAATACTTAAATACATAATATATGGGTAGGTAACATAGAAAACACTCACAAACAGACGTACAAACAAAAAACTCATTAATAAAAATATTTGTATCGAGAATCGAACCCACTAGAAGTGAGACCGTGTACCTACTAAACAGTTAGACCACCGAAGCCGTTAAATGATAAGAAATTTGTCTCTGCGCCACTAACTTGGTCTAAACAGATTATAATAAACTTGTCTTCTTGTAAACTCAATACTGTTTCAATGTTATTATCATTCGTAGTACAGTGATAATAGTTGGGTATCTTCTTAGGTAGAAGATAAAGCAGCTTGTTATTATCCTCAATTTTTAATTTTTATATTTAAAATTTGCAATCCATTCTAATATTTTATAATGCTCTATTGCACTAACTTTAAAATTGGATACAATAAAAAGTAAAACACATCCGCATCGCAATCCCTCGCCTCAACTACGTGCAATTCTAATACTAAAATAATATTTTTGATAGAAAATAAAACTGCTCTATATGGACCTATTTATAAAACTGAGCTGCGTAGTATGGAGTAGATATAATAGTAATAGAATATATTTTAGTATGGAGAACACTGAATGAACTACTGTTCTGCGTTGTTAAACGCAGACTGGGCCACAACTAACGCTAAAGAATGAAAATGAACCAGCACGGTTTCGAAAAAGTCGCGTGGAGACTGATCAGACTATAGAGTCGTTATCATTAATAATTAACACCGTTATTTACCCCGGATACGCTAGTAAATGAAGTACCTACCCACAATGTCTTATCTATGGTATATACTGTGTTCTGCCTGTAAACGGTGACTTTATTTTTAAATTTTACGAATAACTTAAGTTGTCAAAAAACCCCTCTAATCATTCTTCTCAGATACCTCTACTATATTATAGATATAATTTTCTGATATTGAAATGTCATCTAATGATTATCAACTACAGAATATCTATCGATACTCTAGGAAAACTTTAAAAAAGAATCGCAGTAGAGAGCAAGAACATGAATTACATAGAGAAAATTTGAATATTGAAATGACAGAGAGATCTCCGAGAAGTGATTTAAAAAACGACGGATTCATAATTTCATCCCCCGGCTGCAGTTGTGATACAGATCAGGAGGTGGATGTGGCCAATATTTTACATAAAAAGTGCCCTGTTAGTAGCTTGGCTCAACAGCAACTAAAGAAGCTCATAGACGAGACTGATCAATTACTTAGTGATAATCCAAGATCTAGCAGGTGTATCTAAATAATTTAATTAACCAACTTGAAAAAGTTCCCAATTTGTATTTGTAAATAAATTCAGTAACAAAAAAAAACTGAAAATATCTAGGTACTCCTACAATATATTTATTTATAAAGATATAATTCTTATAGTTTAGAACTTTAGGATCACAACGTACTTTATTGAGGCTTCTAACTATAGATTGGCTATATGGCTTATAAAGCATACCTTGGTAGTTTTAGTATATAATTTCGCAAGTTTCACATACTACGAAGAGCTACTTAAGGGTCGGTAATTCAATATTGATGATGTGCAAACAGATGCACTGTTTGCGCATCATTAATATTGAGTTATGTCCCGCGTATATGGTGGAACATACGCGCGCCTGCAACTCCCTCACGCATGTTTCATTTATTATTTTTGCTTCCAGACCTCTCCATGAATTATTGTGTTCCTGTAAAGAAATTCTTCTGAGACAGGATAAATATATGTTATTGATCTTCATTACGGTTGCCTTTATTTTTGGTATATTACTAGGTGCTGCTACTTGTGGCTCCTATCTTGGACGATTTAACAGTCCTATACTAACATGTATAGATAACTTCTTTATTTCGGAGATATACCCAATGAAAGGCCATGATGGTTTTCTTAGCATTGTATAAAATTATATACCTAGCTAGTTTTAGAAAACTATTATTTAAAAGTTTTAGATGCATTTTAGCACTTAGTACATATAAGTCTTAAAAATATAAATTATCAATGTAATATTTCCGTTTAATTTCCTATTATAGAATATTTTGATAGAGAGACGGAATTCTGAGCATTACATGGCAGAGGGAAACTCTGATCAGTTCCTGGGACTTGTAACCCAGGTTTAGGTTTATGGGGTTATTGCCGACGTACGTGAAAACTCACCTTCACCGCTCGTGTTTCTCTCTGACAGCCAATTAATTTGCTTATTAATTCGAATATTTATTTGTTTTTATTGCATGGTCTTTACATATATAATTTCCCACGGTACAGTGAGCTCTACCGGTATTATATATTTTGTTTTTTTTACAAAATAGGAATATATCTGGTGTAAATGATGAGACATCTACATCTGGGATTTTATAATGATTTTCATACATTCTCATGACTATTTTAATTAATATAATTAAAATAGTCATGAGGTCAGTCAGTGATATGTATATAAAGACACATATAAAGCATACATGCTAAGTTGATGACGACAAATATACATGTTATTTTTGAGAAATATTCTCAATTGTAATAAGAGACCAAAAGAGTTATTAAGATATTTATTTCAACTCAAAACTAGTGAGTGATTACTAAACTGCACTTTCAAGTTTTACAAGCAAAGTATATTTAATATTCTGTTATACAATAGTAAATGAAAAGCTTCCTTATCATAATATGGGTGAAATGTTTAATTTCAATTAATTAATCTTCAAGATTTAAATTAAATTGAAATTAAACAAATAAACAAATATAGAAGAGAACAATGGTAATTACCTAGTACAATACATTGAAGCAATATTTGGGTATAATGAAATATATTTCATTGTTATGATGATTATTTAATAAAGGCTACAAGTTTTATTATATATTGCGAAAATTATCAATTTGCATATTAGCTTTCAATAATAAAAAAAATAGAACAAATATCTAATATATAAAAGTATTCCTTCACTTTTGAAAAAAATTGCATTGGCATAGGCATAGGCAAATGCCAATAATTCTGTTAGGTTCATTATTCATTTTATTAGATTATAATTAGTATGACCCAAAGAACTGCTTTATTTATAGGTTTTTAATGGTAGTTGTTCATAGTTTATAACAATGTATTTAATCACAAATTATACTTCATAAACTAATTTAAAGAAAACACATTTTCATCTCAGTAAACATGTACACATGGAATAATGCATTTATCTACTATTTCTGACATATATGTCATTTGGATGGTGGATGTCCACTATTATGGTTTCTTGTTAACATGTTTTGTTATATTACAATACCCAAAAAGTTAAGAAAATTATAGTCATAAATTGTTGGTTCAGGTTGCTCCAAATTGACAATTCTAACAAAACAAATTCCACAATCAATATTTTATTCACTTTTATTTGATACAAGATATACATGGATTTCTTTCATATGATTTTCTAATATAAAAATTGGGAATTCAGAAATTTTATATTAACATGAATATCCTGCAGTGAGATTACTATAATAATGGCTAGAGTAGTTAATTATTATAATAAGTTGTTATTTAAATACTTAAAATCAAATATACAACACTCCTTTAAAACAAATGATACAATACAACCTAGTAGATTATTTTTATTACTTTATCGATTTAATACTCTTAATGAGATATAAATTTAAACATACCTATTGGTAAAACACAAATGTGCACCAAACACATGTCTACCTCCTGGACACAATAATGTTGTCTATTCAAGTTAATACATGAATGTCAGCCTGTGTTCCAAATTGGCTTGTGTCCACAGTGGTCATTTTCATTTTAATTCAAAATACAAATTAAGCCTAAAATGTTTTAATTTAAAATTACGATGAAGTTAATAACAATGAGTGTAGGTGATTACTTCTCCTCACACCATTCATTTTCTTTGCGCACCTGATCCTCTTCAGTGGCTGTGAAATCATTTTTAATGTTGAATGTCTTTCGAATTTCTTCTGGAGTTTTACCTTTAATCATATTTGCTACTGTCTTACAAGTAACATCCAAGAGTCCTTTGATATCTAAATAATTGGCGGCTAGGATAAGTTCAAACAGTGTGCCTTGATCTACTTTTAAGAAATCGGCATCCCAGGATGAAATGTCATCCGTTCTCTTCTCTTTGTTTTCGTCATCCTCAGGCAATGGCGGATCATCTTTGTGATAAGTAGCCCATTGAATGACTTTCTTGAGAATAGCAGAGTTTACGTTGGGCAAGGGAACGACTTCTTCTTCTTCATCATCCATCCCAAGATCCTCCAACATAGTCTTGATTGTTACCGAACATTTTGCTATTTCCACATCTACAGCAAATACTTCATTGTCCGATGACTGCAGTTTGATATTCGGCATCTAAAATCAACAAAGCAGATTAAAGTTAGGCGCCATGTTTTAGTTTTTTGGACAAACTTTGGTCTATACAATACAATATTTCAGAAATAAATTATTACCTTTACTTGTATTTATTAAATAAGGAGGATATTAGTCAATTTAAACTGGTAAAATTTCTCAAATACCGAATCAATGAAACTCAAAACCAACCATAAAGATTGATGATATTAATTATAAAATATAGCGAGAGTATAGATTGCATTACCAGCACAATGTGTGACTGAGTATCTGTGGTCTGGTTATTTAAAGTAGGGACGCAAAGTACTAGAATATTACAAACCTTTATGGAGTACTGTAATTATTTTTCTTATTAATTATTATTATCAATTCCTTTGACGATGCAAACATTTGTATTCATGAGTATGATTGTATATAAAAAATTCAAATATATATCAGTTGTCTAGTACCCAAAACACAAGTTTTGCTTAGCTTGGAACTAGATGTGTAATAGTAGATTATGTATATTAAGAAAACAATTTTTTTGCTCGTACTATGAAAATTTCATTTTCGACAAACAAAACATAAATACAATATTTATGTTTTTTAAGTAAAGAAGCATGATATTGAGCATATCATATCAAATTTAATAAGCTAAAAATAATGCTATATATTATTTTTAGATTATCAAATTTGATATATTTGAAATGGCATAAGAAAACAAAATATAAACTGTCATAAAACCTCAATACGTAACTAGTTGTTTGGTTACATCTCGGTGGAATACTGTGGATAGTTTTAAAAACTAGTTAAGTTAAATTTTGTTCATGTCTATTTTAATCTGTCAGTTAGTCAGTCTGTATAGTTTACTGTCACTGTCAGTTTACTTGTGTAAATCGATAGGGATATAATACACTCGTCGATATTTACTTTAGAACATTTTAAATAAATAAATTACCAACAATTTATTACTTTTAAGAAATATAACTGCATTTCACAAACCTAATTTTTGTTTTGTGAGAAAAATATTAAAATTCTTACTATTTATGGAGGCTGCAGAAAGCCCAGCTTTAGACATGTCAGATAAAAATTCTGAAACATCACGGCTTGTGTCTCAAAATGCTAGTACAAAACCAAGTTATATAAACGTATTTAGCAATATTATTGCAGTTTTGTTTTTGGGGATAGTAACGTATTTCAGTTTTGATAATGGAATTACTATTTTCTCATTTCACCCCATACTGATGACTCTTGGTGTAAGTATTTTTATTATTAATAAGATAATAGATGATTTTTAGACTATTTCTACCTAAATATACATATTTATATATTTATACAATGTCTATCATATACACTATAGGTCACAAGTTGTTTATTGATATTATTAATATTAATAAATGTATTTTTCTGGCGGAAGGTAAAGAAATAAGTTTAGAATCCTGCTGTAAACCCATGCTTACACCAGACTACCCTTTGCACTGTTAATAACTTAATACTAGATTTTAGATTATTCCAGTGCTAAAAGTATAAATTTAATTCCAGTATTTGTCTATAATGTTGTTGCAGTGGCTGTTGATTATGACATCAGCAATAAATGCCATCACTCCTGGTGATTTGGCTACAGAATGGATGCCTATACGACTCCGAAGTGCTCGTCATTGGGTTCTCCAAGTACTGGGTGGTATTATAATCACAATTGGTTTTCTTGTGATTATATCAAATAAAATAATTAATAACTCCTCTCATTTTACCACTTATCATGGAAAATTTGGACTAGCATCCTATATTTTTATGTTGATTACAATGTTAGGCGGTATCGGTGCACTATATAGTCTTAAGCTCAAACAATACTTGCCACCTATTTATACGAAACTTATGCATGCTTCTGTTGGATTACTAACATTCTGTATGGGCATAACTTCGATGTCACTGGGCTTATTTTCTGGCTGGGGAGCTAAAAAAGGAGAAGTTTTCCAGTATGTTGGTTTATGTATGGTATTACTGGTTATGTTGTTCACTGTATTACGTCCTACCTTAAAAGTATATTTTCGGATGAGGGAAAGACTAGAGAATGCAAGTTAAATGTTGTCATCCAACTATTTATAAAACTAGGTAAACTATGATGTATTAAGTGCTTTAGCTACTCACATTATACATGTCGCCTTGCATTGTAACAGTAATAAATTAATCTTTTTTTTCGAATGATTAGACTCCTAAACAGATTATATTGTAAATTGTTATTAAATACTAATCATCATGCCTATTATTATCATAGCAACACAATAATAAATTAAAAATTCATTAGAATATTATAATAGATAAAATGACTACATAAATTTATTGTAAGGAATCAACAGATTCATATGGCACAGATCTGTTTTTAATTGCAGTGTTTGTGGTAGAGATGTTTGTTCCAGAGTGGACAATTTATATTGAAATTACATATAATGAAGTACCTAGGTTCACAATGAGAATCCAAATAACACTTTTCCACTTAGAGAAATTATCATGGATGGGCACAAATTAGTGTTATATGGTTACAAAGGTACCATGCATAGATCTGGAAAGTAATATCACTATTAAGTTATAAGTGCTTTATGTTTGTCCAACATAATATATTCTATATATAGGCAGTAGTTCTTAATCAAAACAATCCATTATTTACTAAGCATATTTGTATGTATATTGTTGTAGGTTTCACTGTCAATGACCAAATATTACACAGAACTTCTATTATTTTATATTGATGATACAGTTAATTGCATTATTTGTTGAATTGTTTATATAATTGTATATGTAATATTTCCTATACAGGGTACAAGATCTCTTCACAGCATAGAATATAAGTTTGTTAAAAATGTTCTTATCCTTAGTAATATTTGAAAATTTAAAAAACCGTTATACTAGATTAAGCAATAGTGGGTTATGTATGGTATGTCTGGTTGTCATCCGACGTGCTCACAAAATCGGCATTTTATTTGAAGTATTCATAATGAATAATGATATGTATGTATATAAATATATAGCGTCCATATAAAAGAATGAGTCAGACGTAATGATATTAATTCATATTGAGCTGTAAATTAATGACACAGTTGAACAACCTTTTCCTGATATACATATATAAGATTATATAATCTACATATTTGCTACCTACATACCTACATATTTATTGCAGTATAAATACATATATGCAATCATATCGTAAGTACTATAATCGGTTTTCAGAGTTACAAACCAAAAATGTAAGTATAGTTTGTGTAAATATAATCCGAGTTTAAAAATGTGCCACTTTCATTCAAGTTATTCTTGAGTGTTATTTTTATTTTCATTATACATAAATACCTAATTACCCATATATTTTGTAACAATACCTATATATATTTTTTATAACACCTTTATACCATTAATTTAAATCATTACATTATATCAAAATGTAAGTGAAAAATTTTGCCAAATATAGTTGTAAAATTTATATATTTACATAGATTTATACATATGTGTCGTCGTCATAGGTATATGCATACTTCCAAGACTACAGTATTTATTACATACGAACAATGGTCTTAGTTTGTAGATATTTTTAATTTAAAATTAAGTGTATGGATAATATAAAACGGATGTAAGTGATCTCACAATTAGTATATTAAAGTATTAATTTAAAAAAAACAAAGTAAAATCAGTGTTCATTAATACATTGATATTCATAACTAATTTCATTCATATTAAAATAACATGAAAGACACATGCATTATGCTGCTGATAATGATGACATTTCTATCTTGCTGATATATGTTTATAATTTTTTTGTATTACAATATTTGGATAATAGTAACTCGTAAGGGCAACAGATGGTATTTTAGCTTCTTTTACAATGATGTTTTCCTTTCTGTTATCCATGATATTTGAACTAATTTCAATTATTGATAAATTTTATATTTTGTTAAGTAGATACATTAATTAAATCATCATCAGATATTACATATCTATGGTACATGCCTATGAAGTTTCGAAGTACATTACATATCTTTGTTAACTGTGCGGTCAAGTGCAACACTGCAGAGTCTTTATCTAGAAATATGTTTGTGTTCCTGTTGGTTTGGGTTCCAAACAACTGAAACCGTTCTGAAAAAAAAACACAAGATAAATCTGTCTTTCTGTCTTCACTCTCTGTATTATCTGTATAGCAGTATTATAGTAGAATCTGTGTAAAACTTGAAATAATCTAGTTAGTACATAATTGTATTAAAAACAGACCACTCTTTATAATACGTCAGGCTCAATAACGATAAATACCAAGGCCATGAAGCTATCGTTTATATTTTTATCTGTTTCTGTTTTTCTTCATATATTGTACCTACTTGCTTTGTGGCTATGTACCTAAGTAATGTACTTTTATTCATATCTGTAGTATTATTAATATACATTACTGTAATTATTATAGTAACCATTAGTGTCTGTGAAGAAATGCTTAACTTGAAATGCATATGTTGAATATTTAACACTTCTTCAAACTTCTTTTGAATTACCAACACTTGAAAATAACTACAGACTGAATGCTTTGTATTTTTTCTACATGGCAACTATTATGTTAGGTGCGGTATTTAAACTTATTCATATTTTTTTTTGGTTCGTAGGCTGAGCTCGGTAGATGCTTCCTACTTCGTGACTAAAAACTAACCACTTGGATACTTGTTGAAATTGTAAAATAAATATAGAATATACTATTGATACTTATTAATGTGAAAAGAAGAAGTAAACATAATCGTTTGTGATTTCTTAATGTGATAGTGCTATGATTTATTCAGACCAAAGTCTGATAAATCTTAATTCCCCCAATATAAGAATATGTATATACATTTTCACATGCCTAGATATTATAGCAATATAAACGAAAATATATTTTATACTTGTTTATGAATGTTATATTTGATTGGAATATTTGGCTAAAACCCTATGTAGGTAACTATTTATAGTTTTATATTTTTGAAATGTCTTTTTATAAAAATAGAAAGTAAACGCTTGTTTAGAGGAAAAACAAAGTAATGAATATTATGACTGATAACCCTGTGCGAAGTAGGTACTACAGGTACAGATTACTAGGTTTGGGGCAACAATTATGTTTGTAAACAATATACATTTTATTAGTCTTAGGGGATTATTACATTATCAAATATATTATTTTATGAGAGCATGTGTTTTGTTTCTGTGCAATGTATTGTAAAATTTTGTGATATTATTAAAATTGCAACGATCATGACTATTATCCCAACTATTTGATAATCTAATAGCCGCTCAAAGACCAAGCCATACTATCAGATTGTTTCAGATGTGACTCGTATGTTAGTATACTAAATGTCTTTGTAATAATGTATCTGTAATCTATAATTCTATATCACTGTATGTCTATATCTATCAAAATATAATTGCTATATAAGCAAGTATATATTTGCTTTATTCATTGACCCGATTTCTGTTCACTGAATTCTTATTAAGGTCCAGAAGTAAGTGGTTTTGGATCACATTTCGATTTTTTATTTCGTTATTTTTATTGGCCTATGGAACAGCATTGTATGTTACATTATAGTAGGAAACAGGTATTATAATACTATATAGTAATATCATATATTCTCATCCTGGAAAATCTTGCTAAAATAGAAAAATAAATTGCTTAAATGAAAATTTATTTAATTAAACTTATCTATACTGTCTCATACAAAAAACGAGCAAGCAAGTTGCGTATTACTCTCTTTATAAACCAACCGAAACCAGCTTATAGTTCGCCGAAAGTGATACTTTGGCTGACGCGGATTGTTCGTCTCCAGCTGTAAAATTTGGCCGAAACAGAAAGTTTTAACTAGTCAGAAATTCCATAATATCGCCTAAAAGTCTAAAAACATTTGAAACCACATCTATGCAAATTAAACGGAATCGTGCCTGACAGTAGTAATAAAATCAAAAGACAGTAAGATGTATATATTTTTTATTGAAATAATTTTACAAATAATATAAGTTTAGTTACTCGCTACCAATACCATCGGCATGCAACGCGCGAGTTTATTCGTCCATTCTCGGAGATTCTCGCCGACTAATAGATAGAAAACTTCGGTCAAATGGTCAAAAGTTTAAGTGTGTTATTGTCGAAGCCGAAAAGATTAGGTAGATATTGAGTACCAAAAAGGAATTATTTATAATTCAGACTTTGCTTTTAACCGAGCAACAAATGTTTTAAACTCCTCGATGCCTTTTCCATTGGTCTCTTCGTATCTTGGTGCTGTAGATTTTATGAGCTCAAACCATCTGTGTACAAATCTTAATCTTAATAATATTATTAACGCGAAATTTGTAAGTATGGATATTTGTTACTTTTTCACGCAAAAACTACTGAACGGATTTTGATGAAACTTTACAGTAATATAGCTTACGCATCAAAGTAACACACAGGCTATATTTTTTGTTGAAATTTAACACGTGTGAAAACGCGGGCACTGCTAGAAAGCTATAATAACTAATAGCACCGACTAAGTGATATGTATGTAATGAATCCATACTCCCATATCTAATCACTAGGTAAAAAAGTTCAAACCGTAATAGGCAGATAGGTACTTTGTATTTATTTTAGATATCGTTGGCAAATAATTTCAAATTATGGATCTTGCACTGGTACATATTATGTTACATTTTCATTGTAGATATTGTTTTATTGTCTATAGAAGAACCTATCATGGGAAGTAAATATAAAATTTTGTAGGAGTTATATTTCCTAAGTCTACATTTGGCAGTGATTCGGAATGTTGCATGCCTTTTTCATACGACTGAAAGGATAAACAATCTGACAGGACCTGAGGGTAAGTATGGGTCTGAGGATTTCACGGATTACACTATTATATCCGTAGCTTTTATTATGTCAAGCCTTTTAGCATCAAGGAGTAATGCCTCTTAAATGAGTCATTACACTCTTCGACTAAAAGATTTTGTGATAGTGGTCCAACCTATATATTAGAATTGCATCTCCACATTATAATATATAGGTAATATATGAAATGAATGAAAAACACTTACTTTAATATATTAGGGTAGGGTTTCAGACTGAAACCAACAGCGTCTATGGTTGATACTGTGGCGACAAGACTCAGATCTGCTAAGGTCAAATTAGAGCCTGCAGCATAGTTGTGACCTTCTAGGAATGTATTGAAGAATAGTAAGGCTTCATCCAGTTTCTTCACTAGCGCCTCGTCTTCTGGTGCACCTCCAAAGATTTGTGGGTACTGTTATACAATTTAAAAAGTTTTCAGGTTTACCAACTTAATCTATGCTAAATTTACGTTAGTGCAAGAGGATGCACCATTCTATTGTCATCATTTAAAAAAGAAGCTGTACTAAATAAAATTTAATACCTATAAGTAAGCGATAGAGAGTATATTTGTTGGTGAGTTACTCTTTCGCAATTTACTCACAATCACCATAAAAATTTAAAATATCTATTTCCAACAGACTGGCATGAGCTTTTATTGCGGCCAGTCAAATCGGCACGCGCATAAACACGCAGGTAAAAACAATTTATAAATAGAAAATGAAAGTGTTAATTCGATTGTCATGATAACTTCGCTGCCTTATCTCATCCTTCAACCGAAGCACAGATTACAAATAAAATTGTTTAGTGGCTGAAATTAGTAAGACTGGATCAGGTATGCGCCGCCCAATGGCAATATGAGCTCCGGATGAAATAACAGCGATTATTGTTGAAATTATTTTTATTAAATAACATATTCATTACAGTCCAGTATCCATAAGAAAGCAGGGCATCGATGAATTGTAGATATTTTAGTCAAAGTTTGAGAATAATTGCCTAATACAACGCATCGCATTTAGGGTTACTCAAATCACAAACGCTGTCGATGGTCAGCGCTAGACTGAAGTGCATACGATAACAATCATACATAAATTATGATACTTACATATAAATTTCCAAATCTTGAATACAGTGTACCCAAATCGAAGTCCAATCTTTGATCAATAACAGCCCTAGTTACCGGGTCTTCAGGATATAGAGTATTTCCAGGTGCATATTTATTAACGAGGTATCTGCTAATGGCTCGTGATTCCCACAGAGAGAAATCGCCGTCCACTATAGTGGGCACTGTGTGTTGTGGATTTAACTGAAAAATAATATCGTATCTTCATATTTGTTTCAATCTGAGTAGTTAAATAACAAAATGAACATGTCGGGTGATGTGTGTTTTTGTTTGCCTAAGAGTAGGTAAAATAAATCTAAAAATATAAAGTGTTTGAAATAGTAATATAAATAATATCATATTATAAACTACTTGAAAATACTTTAAATGTCACTTTTTGTACATTGATATATTCTATATTTATAATATTTTTACCTTCAAAAAGTTTGGTTTCAAGTGTTCTCCATTAGGCAGGTTGAGTAAATTTAAATTAAGTTGTATATCGAGTGCTGCTGCCACCAACAGTACTATTCTACAGGGTGCTGACCCAGGAGTATAGTACAAATCAATCGCCATTACGATTTCTAAAATAAACATATGAAATAGGAATTAATTCATTATCAATTTAGTACGATGGTTTGGTATAGCAATAAAGTTCGACCTACTCACTGGTCCTCTACGAGCTATATCAGCCTACCGTAGGTGGTTATTTTCCTAGTTGTTAGATAAAAAGCTTAGTATAGAAATGTTAGGTTGTGCCTACACTTGTAATATTTCTGTCGACACTTGAGACCCTTCCCTTACTTTACGTCTTCACTAACATATATTATATAGCGCCACCTCATCACAACATATGTAACGCTACAGTGATGAGGATACCACCGCGCTACAAGGTGTACCTACTATATTTTTGTAATTATGACTGTCTTAAATTTCTCAAAGATGTTATTGCAGTGCAAAAATTACGAAAGTTGAATACCCTTCCGTAAAATATATTCACAACAAAATTAAAACTGAACTTTTAATATCACTCGAATCGCTTTCATTTATATAAATAACTAAAATAGCCCTATGTTTTCCAGATGGAAAACAAAGTCACCCGATATAATTTTAAGTTTGGCGCCATTATCTATGGCTATGTTTTGAGTTTGACAAATGACAATTCAGTTGTTACGACGCCGGCCGACGCGACGTGCCGGCACATGAACTTACATATTACTCAATATTTATATTATTTGCATCATATTCTGATTCCGACCATTGACGACCTACTATGAGGCCAATCAACGATTGTACTTTACTTATCGGATCTTTCCAAGTCGAAAGACGTACAAAGGTATAGCATAATTGTGAGACTACGTTATGCCAAGAATAATGATTTTATGATAAAACTATGATACTAATTTCTTTAATATTACATACGCATCTTAAACGTTAGGACGATGATAACGTTGCAATTAGCAAGATATTGGCAAGTATCCGTAGTATTAATAGACGTTTTATTTTGTAAATCGAATAGGAACGTAGAAAAACATACGAACATTTGTTACATATTGATTTCATAAAATGTATATATTTAATTACCTATAATGCAATCCTGGCCGCAATTCTTGGATTTGGGAAACGGGCAATAAAATCGATGAATAAATTTCTTGCCAGATGTCACAAAGCTTCGTTAAGCAATTTCAAACATTACAAATTAATATATTAGTTCTGGAGGTATACTACAACAACAGAACTGACGTGCATTAAAATGTGTAGTTTATAAAACTGACTGAGTGTGATTGATAACAAGAAAGAATTATCTACGTAACGTAAACTAACAAAAAAATCAGTGTCGCCAGCAGTTTTAACTAACCCACCTGCTGAATCATCGCCGAGTTAAGTTAATTTTACTTAGGTTTCTAATTCATTTTTGTTCTTCAACTAATTATTGAAATGTTATTTTCACAATTTTCCAATTAAGAATATAGTAAGTAATAGTAAGATTTCTTGTTTCGTGGATTGTATCAGCACAAAAACTGCAGAAATACACCTAAGAACAGCATTGTTACATTGTTTTTATTTTGTAGTAGGAAATTCAGAGCATTTAATTTTGCATGTTATACCCACCCCTGACGCCATATTAATATATTTTTTTTACTCCATGCAGTGTACCAGATAGTATTCCCAGATTTTATACTATAAATAGTCTATTTTCAGTTGGTTTTTAAGCAGGTTCTTCGATTTGTTCACAATACTGATACCATTATTTGCAATTTTTTGTTTGTTTTAATTGTTTTAGCCAGAAGGTGTGTATACAAGGTGGTACATGCCGATAACGCCTTTTCTCAGTGTGACCATTAATGGCAAATCTGCCACAGACTGGGCAAAAATCTGACATACATACATTTTTGACAGCGAGTGTTGCATATTTTATGCAACACTCGCTGTCAAAAATGTACAAGGGAATGGAAATAAAATTACTAACGAAATCAATGAAATTTCTTGGCTATGGCCAAAAGTATTCTGATTGTGCTCAGACGAACTAATCGATCGCCTTTCTGGCTATATACCTTTCCTCAGAATCAGCAAAATTAATTTTTATTTTGTAAACCCATTTGTAGGCTTTTCGTAAATCAGCCAAACCCCAGGTTTAATTCTGTTCAAATGAAGTTATTAAACTCACACTTGTCATTTTTCCCTATAAGATGACGAAATTGCTTTTTTAAATATTACAGGTTTGTATTGGTTTCTTAGCGAAGATGGACCAAAATGTAGGTGATAGAATGAGTGGACTGTATGTGTGATGTAAATCAAACAATGGATAGAAAATGGTAAATACTTATACTGAAGATAGGTACAAACGGTTGTAGGCAAAAAGTGACAATAAAAATATATGACAATTCTAAAAGAAAATACATTTAAAATTGGTAGAAAAATAAATATATAAAAATGTGCAAAGAGTTTGCAACATACCGACCTCTGGTGCAGAACTGCACAAACTAGCCAAAATAAGGAGAAACCGAATAATCTAAGTGTTTGATATGACTTTTTGAAGAGGCGGCGAAGCAAACCCCTGCAGTAGCTACGTCCACCACCCTAAAAACACTGTTGTTTCCTTGGAAAAGTCGCTGTACTGGATCCACGAAGTTACTCTCGGTAAGTTTTCATCCACGATCACAACCAAATCGCTAATGTTTAGGATTGTGCTCTGTATTATAATTCAATTGTGGTTTCATGGAGGCTGAAATCTTCTATGGCTTACCGAACGAGTCTCTGTCATGTAAGGCTTCAGTTTTAATTCGGTTAAATGACGATCCAAATAAAACCTGTTGGGATTTCTTCATCATCATTTTCCACTAAGCCATGACTGAGGATGACTGACTGTGGCTTATGCTTCGTCAATAGATGATCAATCAATGGATGGTCAATTTGTAATTTTGAAGCGACTTTTGTATAGAGACGAGTCTCTCTCAACAACCTCCAAAAGACGGGGCAGCTGTTGGTATATAGCTCGGTTAGTAGCAAAATTAGGAACGGGAGACTGGAACTCATGGTGGCTGAATCTGCAGACAGGTTGTGGACGAACAGTAAATAAATAAAGAGCTCTAGATGTTAATCAGGATAGAGCAATATGTTTTTCATATCTTCAGGCCGACATTAATCTTACTGTGGCTGTGTCTGTGAATGGGCAGTGATGGTGAGCAGGCCGTTGTGGAGGAAGATTTCCAGTCATTAAGCTTTTCACCTTTTCTCGTCTTCTATGATAGTTATAGCAACACCGCTTCGTATGGTGCTGCGTAAGTAGTCAGTACATCCTTTATACTTCCAACTGAGCGTACGAGATTGTTTTCTCCAGGTGATAATTTTAATTACGTCACTCGTTTTCGCGATTGGTTGTGGTCTCGTGATACACTGGATTTCTTCTTTAAAGCTATCTTGTTGAACGCGATGTAAGATATGCCTTTCTGTGCCTTTTATCAGTTCTGCTGTCATAGTTGATAAAGTGGTGGAAGCAGACATCTTACGTTAACGGTCGCGAGCAACTATTTTTCAATTGGAATCACGCGATCTATAAACGAACGAAATTTAAAAACATCAAAAATACGAGAAGTGGCGTAATATAAAAGTGACCAGTGGGACAGAGTTAGATGTAATGACCTGATGAACAGCCAATGAATTAATATGTTGTTCATGGTCAGTTTGAATAACGGGCTGAAAAGGATTAGATATACAGAACCATCTATAGGCCACTTTTTAGGACACTGCATTGACGGCTTCGTATACCATCGGTGTTTACTTGTGTTGTTACTAGTCGAAAATCAGTAGGTTTACTTTTACTACAACCCACTCCGTATGAAGTCCAACCCAATAACGTACGACAGGCTACAGGTTCATTGCACTTATCAGTACGAACTTCACGAGAAATTGACAAATGCCAATCTTCGGCACCAATAAGTATTGTAGGTGTAACATTATTATGTGACATAAACTCGGATAAATCGCGCAAGTGGTTATAAGTTGTTAATGTCTCTTTGTGCAATGACTTGATGTAAACCAAGTGACGTTATAGCCCTAGCATGTTTTACTAAATAAGTATCAGGTTCATACTTACCTCTTATATAAAAATCTACGTAAATAATGGTAGTCTTTTTTGTAGGCCACCTATACCATTGACAGTTATAGGTTCCTTGGGTCCAGTTAGTCCGATTTGAGTGGCAATGACTGAATCAATTAATGTGGCCGTACTACTATCGTCCAACAATGCGTATGTGTCATAACTACCAATTGGTCCGAAAAGAGTGACAGGTACAATTTTTAATAAAACATTTAGATATGTTGACAGGGTTCGTTCGGTTTGTGAAATACCGGTGTTACTGACAAAAACCTTATCTTTCAACATGACATTAGGAGATGGTGACGTAAGCATCTCATTTTGAGTTGCAGTGGCACACACTGTATTATTCTTGAGCAGTGTATCGGGTGCCTGGGACGACACTGACGTATCCTGTCTACCATGGAGAAGATGATGACGAAAGGAACAGCCGTTTACTCCAGAAGGATTTACCTTGCATGATTTCCATAAATGTGAACTCTGTCGGAGACATTTGTAACAAACCTTACATTTTCGTATCCAACTCCATCTGTCATAGACTGACAATGACTTAAATTCGTCACAAGATTGAATGTTGTCACTTCTTTTACAATAAACGAATTCCACCTTATTTATTTTTAATTTGGAATGAGACTTAGAATGTATATTTTCACGTTTAAATTGTTTATTAGCAAAATAACTTATGTGCGTCTGTTGTGTTGCTAAAGAAAGTGCCCCTTCGGGAGATTGGCAGAAACTAATATGTGTACTCACGTGTCAAAAATTCAGACAGTTACTCTCCTCTACCTCTAACTTAGATAGGTTCAGGTTCGCTTGGCTAAACTCAGACGCGTAATCTGTCCACCTTATTTAATGTTAGGATTTAATTTTTCTAAAACAGAGTAAAATAGTTCTGGAGAATGTAAATACTCCCTACGATTTAACAGTTTTATAGTAGAAATACTATTTCGTACCTTGTTAGCAATACTACTTAATTCTTTAAGTTCGTTACCCAACCGCGGTAGCGACTTCAATGATTGTACCTCGCCGAAGACGATCATTTCGGGTGATGCAAAGCTTCGCTCGAGTGATCTCTCATAAACTGAAGAGACGGCTTCTTGTGCGGGACCACGTAGCGCGTTTTGTAAACGTGCAACGTTCTCTACAGGAGAATAAAACGGTTTAGAACTATCGTACATTTTTTTTAACTGTAGCCACTGCAATGCGTTCTCATTAAACGGAAATAACTCAGTCCTACAGTGTTTCCGCATGCCATGAGTGGCCAAAGCATTGGCTGCATCAGCCATGTTGGCGGTAATTTGTAATAATAACTGTGAGTTGTCATTATTACTGCCTAATATTGGCATATGCTGTTGTTCACCCGCTACATTTGCCAGGGAGTGTAAGGTCGGCCGTGGCATGGCCGGCTGTCTGGATGTATGGGGAACAGAACCTGCATGTGTTGGACACGAGAGGTGTGCTGCTGCTATTTGCGGAGCAGCAGCCTGAAAGCCTACCGGTGCCGTAGGTGCCGGGTAGCTAGGCTGTGGCACCTCTCGTTGTTCCTCACTGTTGTCACGTACCTTAGTATTAGAAATATTTTTTACCCATTGCTGTGT